CCCCATTTGCTTCTTGGCTGTATCCGATGATTTCACCGGTTGGTGTGTCAGCTCAGGCGGGGGGCGGCTCCATTGTTTTCGGGGGCGGCGCCATTGTTTTCCTCGGCGGTGCCTCTTCAATATGTCGATCTCTGCTTCCTCTGCCAAGACGTACCATTCCTCAAGTCGAGGTGGGTCCCCTCGGGGCAGGCAAGCATCATAGAGATCATAGTTTAGTCCGTGATGTCTTCTGGCCAATTCAGTTTGCTGGCAATGGCCCGGAATTCTTGTGTATATTCAGCCACCGGGTGTTTGCCTTGCTTCATCGTCTTTATTCTTTCACGGGCTTTGCGATCAGCCAGGGGGTCTTCAAATCGTCTTCTCAGAGAGGACATGAAACGGTTGAAGTTACTGAGTTCTGGGGCATTGGAGTCATGCAGGTTCACCACCCAATCTGCAGCTGGTCCATCCATGGCAGATTGCACGATCCGGATGCGGGCTTTGTCGCTGGGGATGTCCTGCCCATATTCCTCCATGTAGCTGAGGACTTGGGTTAGGAAGGAAAAACCCCACGCGTGTTGGCTCTCCTTTGAATTTCACCTCCAACGGTGAACGTCTTGGAATGGATCGGTGCCTCCGTTGTGGGTGGTAGTGTCTTCCTCCAGATTGCCATCTGTGGTCCGGTAGTAGATGTCCCTGGGGTTGCAGGTTCCACGTCCCCCTCGGTGTCTCTCCCTTTGTGGCTCCAGGAACTGGGGCGGCCGTAGGGCTCAGTATTCTCCTCTCCTAGGGAGCTGAGAGTTCTCTTCATCAGGTCAATAGCTTTCTCTAGGATCCAGTCTGAGTACGGTGCCCAGCTTCCTCCCTCTTCACTTGCGTGCAGGGATTTCTCCATCTCCTGCTTCCATTCTGGTTGCTTGGTCCCCCGTCTCAGGGTCACCTTTCTTGATTCCTTTCTCCACTCACTTTTCTTTCCAACGCCCATCGACCAGCGAGGCTTGTGGTCCTGTGTCTCCACCACTTCTTCTCCTGAGGAATCTGGCCTCTCGGATCCCAACATCTGGCAAGGTTCCAACTGGGTCAGCGGCTCTCTTTCCAGGGAGTTTTCCCCCTCTCTTGCTCCATTGTCTGACATGGTAAATTTTTGCAAAATCCCCCGGCAAGGGTCTCCCTTCCAGGTGGATTAATTTTGCAAGTCCTGTCTAATGTAAGGACCCACCCCACTTTGCATCTTAAGAAGACAGAACTCTTGGAATAATTCTTCCAACAGGAATCCTTTATTAAGAGAAAATGGTTGCAGGCATGCTAGACAGGACTTGGGGTTCAAGCTCTCCCATTCAAGGTTTTAAGGGGTTCCCCAGTAGTCCCACCCAATCAACCCCCCTTCCAGTGATAGTTTCAAGTATCACAATTCCACCCCCTTTCTTCTTTCTTCCGTCTGGATGGAGACTTCAGATAACTACATGAAAGGCAAATACCCTTCCTTGTTATGGTAATGTTCTTGGGTGCTAACACTTTGAGGTTACAATAAACATACATTCAGCATTCAGCTCTCTGAAGTGTACTGAAGGAAGTGAGGGCCATAAAGCCCCTTTGTTCTCCCCCTTCTCTCCCTCTTATGGCAGAATCCAGAGAAGGTAGAATTGGGGTTTTCTATGTTTGATAATTAAAGATGAAATATAATTGGATTCTGACAGGGACCCTGGAACAACGGGAAACTCAGATTGTCTTAATTCACAGATTCTGGGAGATTTCAAGGATACACTCATTTTGTTTTCTTTAGCAACTGTATGGAGGCAATTTGCAAATATGTTCTTCAGCAATGTTTTCCCCCCCCCCAAAAAAATCTGGGATTTCTGGACATCTTCCACCTGGTTATTAACTAGCTTGCACCAGCTGGGATATTTGGGAGTGGAGGGGTGAGATTATCTGAAAGATCCGGCTGGCTAAATCAACTTATGGAGGAAATCAGAAATGAGAAGAAATAATTTATTGAAAAGGATCCTGAGTTTCTTTCCCTTCAACAGAAGGCTAGACATTGAGTGCATTCACATATTATCTTTAACCTGGGTTATTGACTTAGCCCAGTGGTGGTGAACCTACGGCACGCGTGCCAGAGGCGGCACTCAGAGCCCTCTCTGTGGGCACGTGCGCCATGCCCCCGAGATGGCAACCGTCCCTCTTCAACCAGCCGCCCGCTAATTTGTTGAAGTCCCACATGGCTGGATGCATCCGAGCACCCATGCGCTCGCTCTGTGTGCGGGGGCTGATGGTGTCAGGCAGCAGCCGCCCCGGCCCGTGCCTCACCTTGCCCTGTGATAATTGCACCCCTGCCCTGCCTCGCCTCACCCCGCAGGACGAGCCTCTTGCTCACCGGCCCACTTGCCACAGACCCCCTGGATCTCCCCCAACCCTGCCCAGCCCCCACAGGCGTCCCTCCCCACGAGCAACATTGAGGAGATCACGCCCACCTTGGCCACACCCACCCAGTCTGCCATGACCACCACAGCTATGCCCATCCAGTTGGCCATGCCCACCTGGCACCCGGCGATAAATAAGTGGGTTTTGGGTTGCAGTTTGGGCACTCGGTCTCTAAAAAGGTTCGCCATCACTGACTTTGCCCATTTCCTGGACTCTCACAATAGACTGAACTGGAGCCGAGCTGGGTCTGCACAACATAAAAGCTACCTAACCATGAATAAAAAGACCCTCCCTTTTTATGATGCTGTAATCCTGTAATTCAGGGTAGAGTCGGGGGCGACTGGATGGAGCTGAGAGTTTATTGGCCAGACGCCCTTCCTGATGCCCGGCAGAGTTCACAGTAGATATTTTTTTCTTTGCACCCTAGGAGAGAAATATCTCCCGCTTCCTAGGATTGAACGCTCAACCTTCCAAGTGGGAGCTCAGCGTCTTCACCATTAGGCCACCACTCTGCTCTCCTCTAACCGTGAATAAGCCCTGATCAAGTGCTACATTTGCAAATGTAACTGCTAGGTCTTTACATCAACTGGTAAAGTATACTAGGTGAAAATAACAATGTACAGCAAGAATCTGAGTTAGCAAAGCTCTCCCCCAAGGGGGCCTCATCCTGCACACCGTCCGTGACTGAGTCCCAACTCCCATAATCCTGGCCCACTTTCTCCAAAAGTAAGCAGTTGTATCAAGGCCAAAGAAGATCTTATGATGGCGCGGCAGTGGTTAGAATGCAGAATTGCAGGCTGACTCTGCCCACAGTCTAAAGTTCGATCTTGACCGGCTCGAGGTTGACTCAGCCTTCCATCCTTCCGAGGTTGGCAAAATGAGGACCCAGATTGTTGGGGGGCAAATATGCTGACCCTGTAAACTGCTCAGAGAGGGCTGTAAAGTACTATGGAGCAGTATGTAAGTCTAAGTGCTATTGCGATAGGTATTGCGGGAGGCCAGAATCAGTCTAAAAATAAAATAAAATAAAATAGGGAGCTGCTACAGCCGAAAAAGGAAACCAGGAAGAGGTCTGAATCTCAGCCTGGAGCTGGTGAAGCGACTACTACCTCTTGTAATTTGAAGCATTGGCAAATATGTGAGGATTTAAAAGTTTGGCTCACGTGTTACGATCAGCAGGGTGTCAACGGAAGACCAGCCTATGCAGCTGCAAGGTTTTGTTACAGCTCCCACCGATTAAGGCTGTTCTTCTCTCACCCACATCTCTGGTTGATATTTTTTTGTTTCTTCAAGTCATTGTTGACTCCAGGCAATCGCTTGGACTAGTCTCTGAAGGTTACTTAACACGATTTCAGAAGTGGTTTGTCATTGTCTCTTTCCTAGGGCCGAGAGAAAGCAACTGGCCCAAGTTCACCCAGCCAGCTTTCGTGCCTAAAGTGGAACTAGAACTCAGAGTCTCCTGGTGATTGGCCCAAAACCATTGATGGCTTTCATGCCTAGGGTGGGATTAGAACTCACAGTCACCTGGTGATTGACCCAAGTCACTTAGCCAGCTTTCGTGCCTAAAGTGGGACTAGAACTCAGAGTCTCCTGGTGATTGGCCCAAAACCACTCAGATGGCTTTCATGCTTAGGGTGGGACTAGAACTCACAGTCACCTGGTGATTGGCCCAAAACCATTCAAATGGCTTTCATGCCTAGGGTGAGATTAGAACTCACAGTCACCTGGTGATTGACCCAAGTCACTTAGCCAGCTTTTGTGCCTAAAGTGGGACTAGAACTCACAGTCTCCTGGTAACTGGTCCAAAACCACTCAGATGGCTTTCATGCCTAGGGTGGGATTAGAACTCACAGTCACCTGGTGATTGGCAAATCACAGTCTCCTGGTCATTGGCCCAAAGTCAACCAGCTGGCTTTTATGCCTAAAGCAGGATTAGAATTCACAGTCTCCTGGTGATGGGTCCAAGTCACCTAGCTGGATTTCATGCCAAAGTTGGGACTAGAACTCACAATCTCCTGATCTAAGTCAACCAAGCTGGATTTCATGCCTAAATTGGGACTAGAACTCATAGCTAAATGATCTCTAGCCTGCTGACTTAACCATTAGGCCAAACTGGCTCATACTGACTCCTATCTCTTCTCTTTGCCCTAGTTATGACCTGGGCATGCCAATGAACAAACCAGGTCCAATTCCCACAACCCTCTATGGCAGTGGTTCTCAACCTTTTTAATGCCGCGACCCCCAACTGGTCGTAAGTCGAGGACTACTCAACCGGTTGTAAATCGAGGACTACTCAACTGGTGCAGCACTGTTTGCAGAATGGGACTTTTGGCGGTCTCAGCAGGGCAGAGACAGCCTGGACAATTCCTATTGGCTTTTGAAAGCCAATAGAATTAGACTCTATTCAAGAGAGTCTATTCTATTGGCTTTCAAAAGCCAATAGAATAAAAGGGAGTAGCACAGCTAAGGAAAAGGGGGAAAAAATGGCGGACTGCGTTGTTTGACGACCCCCGTGAAATGGTCGTTCGACCCCAAATGGGGTCCCGACCCACAGGTTGAGAACCGCTGCTCTATGACTTAGTTACACACCAGACACTCCCTTGGTTTATAATAGAGCTCTATTTGTATTCTTTTCTGTCATTAAATTATTATAGATATAGATATATGTATAAAAATCTTCGGTATGTACATACAGTCATCCTTCTTTTCCTCTCCTCTGCCTGTGGATTCGATCATGAGTGCGTTCCACAGAGAGAGAAAGGCGGAAGGGAAGAATCCCGGGATCTGGTAGCAGGGAAGGAAGGGGGGGTTGCCCGGCTCAGCAGTTCAAGAGATCCAGTGTTGGTTTTATTTGGGGTCCACACGTCCAACCACAAACCCCCAAATCCCATCCGAACAGGGGGCTAGCCATACACAGTATGGCTGGGCAGCTTTGTAGATTTGAGGGGAAGGTTCAAAACATGGGGAGAGACCCCAAAGGTTTTGGCACCTGCCTTAGGAAGATGCCCGCAGATGCCACGAGGGGCATCCAGGCATGTCGAAAAGTTCCTTTTCCTCTCAATGGGGCACCGTGACGAGACTGCAAGGAAGACATATGCTTAACCAGCTCCTTCCAGGTGGAGCGGCCACCTGCAAAGCCGCTGAGAACAGACTAATGAGGTCTTCACCTAGACTTGGAGATGCATGAACCTTGGGGTACCAGGAGCCTGTACGGAGAAGCTGCGATGAGTAGAAGGTATTTTAAAAGAGCCACACCCACATATCCTTCCCTATCTCCATCAGCCTCCCTTCTTCTCATCTGACCAGCTCTCGTTCCAAGCTGGAGCAGAGCTGCCGGGGACAATGGGAGGATGGGAAGGCAAATGAACCCCTGAGACCAAGGATGGAGCGAATGGGGCGCCGGAGCTCAGCTTCAAGGTTCAGGATGGCAATTCTCCAGTTGTTCCAGGAACGGGCTGTCCTCTTGGAGCAGTTTCCACCAGTCTCCAAGCTGGAATGTGAAGGCATCCTTAGAAGAGGCCCGGCTGCAACGGAAACAGCCGAGGCGTGGCAACGTGGAACCGTCGTCTCTTGATTGGCAGGTTCTCTCCCCCCCTCCTCACTGGCACTTGTCATCGCTCTCGGAAGGGCTGAACTCGCGAGGGATGGAGTGCCGTTGCCTCTGATCCCACAACTGGTGGATTTCCGTGGCTTCCATTTCGCTGCTACTGGTTGTGCTGTCCCGGAAGCTCGCCAGTGGGGGGCGCACCTTCGCCCCTTTGGCGGTGACCGAACCCTCAATGGCTTTGCGCAGCTGGAAGAAAGGAAGAGGATGGGATGACGGGAGACAGCAGCATCCGCCACCCAACCCACGCAGGTAGTCCTCGATTTACAACACTTTTGTTTCGTGACCGTTCAAAATGACCACGGCGCTGAAAAAAAAGGAGACTTGGGACCCCTTTGTGGGAGGTGGAAAATATAGCCCCCTCCTCATGTGAGAGAGGCCCCACAGTAGCGATTTAAAACAAAGCTTTGACTCGAACTCTATACGGACGTATTATTTGTAAATTACTGAGCGTTGGGCAACGTGAAATTGCAAAGGAGGTAGTTTCTGTGTGTATTTGGAACGTGAATATCGCAACCATTTGGGAAAAGGGGAACTGAAAGTAACAAATGGATGGAGGTTTCAGATGTACACGGAGGTATGTGGAAACTGCTGGTCAGCACGAAAGAGCAAGGAACTGATTTTGCAAGATAATAATAATAATAATAATAATAATAATAATAATAATAATAATAATAATAATAATAGCAATAATAATAATAATAATAGTAGTAGTAGTAGTAATAATAATAATAATAATAATAATAATAATAATAATAATAATAATAAAGTTGGAAGGGACCTTGGAAGTCATCTAGTCCAACCCCCTGCTCAGGCAGGAAACCCTACACCATTTTGGACAAATGGCTGTCCAGTCTCTTCTTAAAAACCTCCAGTATAGGAACATTCACCGCTTCTGGAGGCAGGTTGTTCCACTGGTTAATTGTTCTAACTGTCAGGAAGTTTCTCCTTAGTTCTAGATTGCTTCTCTCCTTGATGAGTTTCCATCCGTTGCTTCTTGTCCTGCCTTCTGGTACTTTGGAGAATAGCTTGACTCCCTCTTCTTTGGGGCAGCCCCTGAGATATTGGAACACGGCTATCATATCCCCCCTCGTCCTTCTCTTCGTTAAACTAGACCTACCCAATTCCAGCAACCGTTCCTTATATATTTTAGCCTCCAGTCCCCTGATCCTCTTTGTTGCCCTTCTCTGTGCTCTTTCTAGAGTCTCAATATCTTTTTTACATTGTGGTGACCAAAACTGGATGCAGTATTCCAGTGTGGCCTTACCAAGGCCTTGTAAAGTGGTATTAATACTTCACGTGATCTTGACTCTATCCCTCTGTTGATGCAGCCTAGGACTGTATTGGCCTTTTTGGCAGCTGCAGCACACGGCTGGCTCCTATTTAATGACTGTCAGTTAGAAGAAAGGTATAAAAATGTTAGTCAAAATCTAGCTTGGGGCCGTTGGCCTACAGCTGTCCTTTTGGAATCTGCTATGCCATATGGTCCTCATTGCAATGGGTTATTAATGCAAGTGATGTTGTGTTATTATGCTTGCTATGTTCCAAATTATTCGCAAAATAAACCTCTGAATCGTAAAGTAAGAATTATTGTTTTGTGTTGCTGTCTCTTGTCTTTTTCGTTGGGTTTTTCCACGACACCTTTTCACACTTAGAACCGCTGCAGTATCCCCAGGGTCGTGGGGTCACGTGGGTCAAAATTCAGGCTCTTGGCAACTGAGTCATATTTATGACAGTTGCCATGTCCCGGGGTCACATGATCCCCTTTTGCGACTTTCTGACAAGCAAAGTCATTGGGGGAAAGCCAGATTCACTTTATAGTCATGTGACTAATTCAGGCTGCCAGGGGAATTCTGGGAATTGAAGTCCACAAGTCTTAAAGTGGCCAAGTTTGAGGACCCCCTGGACTAATTTAACAACTGGAGTGATTCACTTAATAACTGTGGCAAGGAAGGTTGCAAAATGGGGCAAAACTCAATTAAAAACTTGCTTAGCGACAGAAATTTTGGGCTCAAGTATGGTCGTAAGTCGAGGACTACCTATTCTGGCCAGAAACTGATATCTTAAGAATCTTTCCTAACAAGCTGATCATAAAAGTTTGGACTTCGATCAAACTAGGCTAGTGAACAGATAATTCTCGACATACGACCACAATTGAGCCCAAATTTCTGTTGTTAAGTGAGACATTTGTTAAGTGAGTTTTGCCTCATTTTACGACCTTCTGGCCACAGTTGTTAAACGAATCACGCTGGTTGTTTAGCTAATAACTCAGTTGTTAAGTAAAACTGGCTCCCGCGTTGACTTTGCTTGTTGCACGGTTGCAAAACGGGAATCACATGACCGCAGGAGCGTCGTAAATATGAGTCAGCTGCCAGGCGTTTAAATTTTGATCATGTGAAAATGGGGATGCTACAACGGTTGTCAGTGTGAAAAACGGCCACAAAGTCCCTTTTTTCAGTGCTGTTGTAAATTGGAACGGTCACTAAATGAACTGTTGTTAAGGACTGCTACTGGGTAAAAATTGCATGAGTTGACGTTTGTAAGCTGCTTAGAGTCCTCTCTGGATGAGATGGGCAGCACATAAATTTAATAAGCATTAAAATAATCCAAAGTCTAGTCCCAAATATCTAGAAATTGCTAGGTGAGGATTGTGGAGATTGTGAAAATCAGGGATTATCCTGCTTTTTTGTACCAGGCTGGTATCAGGGATCCAATCTTGCTTTTGTACCGATGCAGAACATATCACTGGCTACCCAGTCACCAACCACATTTATCTTTGTGAGCCTTTGCTAAGGGGATGGCAGAAAGGCAGAGAATGTAAGATGCATCCCCCTTCAATAGACAAGAGGACTGGAGGCTAAAACATATCAGGAATGGTTGCTGGAATTGGGTGTGTCTGGTTTAATGAAGAGAAGGACGAGGGGGGATATTATAGCAGTGTTCCAATATCTCGGGTTGCCACAAAGAAGAGGGAGTCAAAGCTATTTTCCAAGGCACCTGAAGGCAGGACAAGAAGCAACGGATGGAAACTGATCAAGGAGAGAAGCAACCTAGAACTAAGGAGAAATTTCCTGACAGTTAGAATAATTAACCAGTGGAACCACCTGCCTCCAGAAGCTGTGAATGCTCCAATGCTGGAAATTTTCAAGAAGAAACTGGACAGCCATTTGTCCGAAATGGTATAGGGTTTCCTGCCTGAGCAGGGGGTTGGACTAGATGACCTCCAAGGTCCCTTCCAACTTTATTTATTTATTATCATTATCATCATCATCATCATGGATCATCGCACAGTCAGCCAGACGTTCAGACTGGATTTGGCATTTTGTCTACCTATCGAGTCCTTACCCAGGACCTGGGATAGGCAGATGTGGATGTTTGATGATGATGATTATTATTATTATTATACAGATACAGGACAAATGAGGAGGAAACCCAGATTTTTTTTCCCCACATGCTGTGACCAGAATGTGAAGGATTTGGATTCAATTGGATTATGAATTGGCATAAATTCTATGCCCTATCTTTTAATGAATAATAATTTGGCAAAGAGTAATGCTTTGAAAAAGGACATCTGTTTCCCACGAGAAAAATCCCTGTTCTAATGTTAGAATGACAAGATACCTGTCTGATATATAGATAAGTGGGTCTGTGTGTATATGTGCAGGTGTCTCAGGCCAGACGACAGAACTGCCTAGAATTCTGGGAATTGAAGTCCACACATATTAAAGTGGCCAAGGTTGAAAAACACGGATGTAGGATGACCTTAAGAAACATTTCTTTGCCGCATACGGGACATGGCATGACATTAGAGAAAATCAACAGAAACCTCTGAAGTTTCACTCTTCTTGGGTTGATCCTTCTAAGTGCTACTCACCTCTTTGAGAGACACCACGCCAATCAAGCGCCCGATACTGGTGACGTAAGCGTGGTCCACTCCCAAGAGGGAGAAGATGGTGTGGGTCTGGAAGAGAAGGGAACAAGCTCGGCTTAGCATCGCAAAATACAGAAAAATGGTAGCCACAAGTTCTGTCCTTATCTTCCAAGTCAATGTAAAGGGGGTCTTTGTCCATGGCACGCTGATGCCAACAATATAACGAAGGCTACACCTACTTGGTTGGTCTGAAAGCAAATAATACTCTCTCTCTCTCTCCCATTCTGTGTGTGTGTGTTTATAACAGCCATAATATCTTGGATGCTGTGTAAAATTTGGAGAGAATAAAAGACTCCTATCCTTCTTCCAGTGTTAACAAATACAGATACCTATGCATTAAAGTGAAATCTAGGCCTAGAGGGGTCAAAATGCCAGGGCAACTAGACACGGGCAGTTTTTTCCCTCCTACTATCCCTGTGCTGAACATTTAATTCCCACAGTTCTGTTTAAAGTATATGCATATCTACCCATACAGTGTGGCTGTAGTGTTATTATGTATCCTTTTAATTATCTTCCTCATTTCCCCCCTTTTATTGGTATTGTTGGAAGAAAAGTCTTCATCAGGGTTCAGTCCAAGCAGGGAATAAACAACATGGCGACTGCTTTAGAAAGAAGGTTGCAGTTTATTGAAGAGGAGAGCCAGACAGAAAGAGAGAGAAGAAAGGGGTGAGCACATGTAGGGAGTGGGGTTTATACCCTCTGGAGCCTTTTGTTTGGAGTGATTTCCTGTTCCTGTTTGAGGCTATTTCCTGTGTCATGTATTCTGAGCTGAGTCTGGGATTGCCCTTTGGCATCTGTGGGTTAATCCTATTAACCTGTCTTCGACTTTGGGTGGGGTCTGTAGATTTTAGGTATCTTTGTCTTCCTAAGTTTCTAGCTCAGTGGTTCTCAACCTGTGGGTCGGGACCCCATTTGGGGTTGAACGACCATTTCACAGAGGTCGCCAAACAACGCAGTCCGCCATTTTCTCCCCCTTTTCCTTAGCTGTGCTACTTCGTTTTATTCTATTGGCTTTTGAAAGCCAATAGAATAGACTTGCTTGAATAGAGTCTAATTCTATTGGCTTTCAAAAGCCAATAGGAATTGTCCAGACTGTCTCTGCCCTGCTGAGCCTGGCAAAAGTCCCATTCTGCAAACGGTGCTGCGCCAGTTGAGTAGTCCTCGACTTACGACCAGTTGAGTAGTCCTCGATTTATGACCGGTTGGCGGGTCGCGGCATTAAAAAGGTTGAGAACCACTGTTCTAGCTCCAACCTTCCTGGATTTACATCTGCATCTCTATAGAGCTGGTCCCTGCTTGGGGGAGGGAGACCTGGGGCTATTAAGAAAACTGCTTTCCTGCCTCTTCAAGATCCTTCTCTGGGGGCTGACTTCCCACAGAATCATTGGTTATTATTATTCTCCCTGTTACTTTGCAAGCATCCCTATGATCACGTGATCAAAATTCAGGTGCTTGGCAACTGGCATGTATTTCTGATAGTTGCATTCTCCTAGGGCAGAGATAGGCAACCTTGGCTCTTTATAACTCATGGACTTCAACTCCCAGAATTCCTCAGCCAGCGACGCTGAGGGGAAAGGGAGAGGTTTCCAAGCTGAGCCATGCTGGCTCAGGAATTCTGGGAGTTGAAGTCCACGAGTCATGAAGGGGCCATAGTTCCCCCATGCTGGCTCAGGAATTCTGGGAATTAAAGTCTACCCATCTCTGAGTGGCCAAGGTTGAAAAATACAGGCCTAGGCCAGGAATAGGCAACCTTGGCTCTTTTATGACTCGTGGACTTCAACTCCCAGAATTCCTGAGCCAGCCATGCTGAGGGGAAAGGGAGAGGTTTCCAAGCTGAGCCATGCTGGCTCAGGAATTCTGGGAGTTGAAGTCCACGAGTCATAAAAGGGCCAAGGTTGCCTACCCCTGTCCTAGGGCCATGTAATCATCATTTGTAATCTTCCCAGCTGGCTTCTGACAAGCAACATCAACGGGGGAAGCCAAATTGGCTTAACAGCCACATAATTCATTTAACCACTGCAGTCACTTTCTTAACAACTATAGCAAAAAGGCCACTAAAATGGGGCACAGCTCACTTTCTTTAACTGCCTTGCTTTGGAATGGAAATTTTGGACTCCATTGTGGTCCAAAGTCGAGGACTTATAAATCATCCAGCTTTGCTTCGGGTCCCACAACCTACCTTGTGCAAAGAAGTCCGTTCCACCAGCTGGAAGGGCGCCGGATCGATCTTGCAGTTGTTGAAGTTGACCAACTGATCAAGCTGTCGCTCCTCCCATTCCAGAATCTACAAATTCAGGAGATGCATTAATGCAGCAGGCCGGCTCACATTTATTTCCTATTGCATTTACGGTATAATATTTACAATGTTTTCTTCTCTGAGTATCAGCCGTTCAACAAAGTCCCACTGATAAATGATTCTATGCCTGAAGACGGTGATAAGTCTGCATATAGACTTATAGGCAGGACAAGAAGCAATGGATAGAAACTAACCAAAGAGAGAAGCAATCTAGAACTAAGGTGAAACTTCTTGACAGTTAAAGCAATTAATCAGTGGAACAACTTGCCTCCAGAAACTGTGAATGTTCCAACACTGGAAGTCTTTCCAGAAGAGATTGGACAGCTATTTGTCTGAAATGGTATAGGGTTTCCTGCCTGAGCAGGGGGTTGGACTAGATGACCTCCAAGGTCCCTTATAAATTTATTATTATTATTGATCATCGCAATCAGCCAGATGTTCAGACTGGATTTGGCATTTTTGTCTACTTATCGAGTCCTTACCAAGGACCTGGAATAGGCAGATGTGGCTGTTTGATGGCATTACAGATATCGTCGCAGGATGGAAGCAGTTCCTAGTAAGGCCTCCTTTTGCAATTGACTAATGGCGAATTTGTCAATGCCAATGGTGTTCAAGTGATGCTCCAGTTGTTTTGGGATTGCACCCAAGGAGCCTATTACTATTGGTACTACCCTTGCTTGCTTTTGCCACAGACTTCCTATTTCTATTTGTAGGTCTTTGTATTTTGTTATCTTCTCCAGTTCTTTCTCATCTATTCTGCTGTCTCCAGGCACTGCCACGTCCACTATCCAGACTTTTTTGTCTTTCTTATCGACAATTGTTAAGTCCGGGGTGTTATGTTGCAGGTGCTTGTCTGTTTGAATTCTGAAGTCCCAGAGCAGTTTAATTTTATCATTTTCTTTGACTTTCTCTATTTTATGATCCCACCGGTTCTTGCTGACAGGCAAATGATATTTCTTGCAGATCTTCCAGTGCACCATATTATTATTATTATTATTATTGTTGTTGTTGTTGTTGTTGTTGACAGGAAGTTGAACAACTGGACCTGTGGTACAACTGGAACAATCTGGAGCTGGAGATGCTTAAGTTAAAACTGTAGAAATGTTAGCACATTTTAGGAGAAGCTCTCCTATTCCACCCCTCTCCTACCATATTAGATAACACAGTATTAACACTACAGACCTTCAGGTTTCTGGGTTCTATAATCTTCCAGGATTTGAAATGGACACCTAACATTAGAACCACCATTAAAAAGGCACAACAAAGAATGTTCTTCCTGCGTCAACTCAGAAAGCTCAGCCGGTCCAGGGAGCTGCTGATACAGTTTTACAGAGGAATTATTGAGTCTGTCATTTGCACCTCTTTAAACTGACTGGCTTGGTAAAGCAACCAAACAGGACAAGTAAAGACTTCACTGAATAGTTAGGACTGCAGAAAAAACAATTGCAAGCAGCCTGCCTTCCACTGAAGACCTGTATACTGCACAGGTCAGAAAGAGGGCTGAGAAAATAACCACAGACCTCTCACATCCTGGATTTAAACTGTTTCAACTTCTCCCCTCAGGATGCTGCTATAAGGCATTGCATCGGAAAACAACCACAATGTAAGGACCCACCCCACTTTGCATCTTAAGAAGACAGAACTCTTGGAATAATTCTTCCAACAGGAATCCTTTATTAAGAAAAAGTGGTTGCAGGCGTGCTAGACAGGACTTGGGGTCCAAGCTCTCCAATTCAAGGTTTTAAGGGTTTCCCCAGTAGCCCCACCCAATCAACCCCCTCTTTCAGCGACAGTCTCAGGCATTACACTTCCACCCCCCTTTTCATTACTGCCTGGCTGGATGGAGACTTCAAAGAAACTACATGAAAGGAAAACGGCCCCATTCTTATGGTTAGTTCTTTTGCAATACACACATTCAGTTCCTTAGAAGTCTACTGAAGGAAGTGAGGGCCATAAAGCCCCTTTGTTCTCCCCCTTCTCTCCCTCTTATGGCAGAATCCAGAGAAGGCAGAATTGGGGTTTTCTATATTTGATAACTGGAGATGAAGTATAATTGGATTCTGACACACTAGACACAAAGACAGTCCCCCCCCCCCGTGCCATCACTCTGCTGAACACCTAATTCCCACAGAACCATCTTATGCCTAAGGATATCTAACCCTATAAAAGGATTGCATTGCTATTATCCTTCTTATCCTTCTTATTTCTACTCCTATTGGTATTTTATAACTATCACTTTGTTACCGTATTTGTGTCTTATGAGTTATGATTTATCACTTTGTTGCTTGTATGTTCACTGAGAGCTTTTGCACTGGAGACAAATTATTTGTATGTCCAATCACAATTGGCCAATAAAGAATGTTCTATTATCTATTCTATTCTATTCTATTCTATTCTATTCTATTCTATTCTATTCTATTCTATTCTATTCTATTCCATTCCATTCCATATATTCTATTCTATTCTATTCTATTCTATTCTATTCTATTCTATTCTATTCTATTCTATTCTATTCCATTCCATTCCATTCCATTCCATATATTCTATTCTATTCTATTCTATTCTATTCTATTCTATTCTATTCTATTCTATTCTATTCTATTCTATTCTTATTTTTTTCAGTAGAGATAGTGTCTAGTTCCATACAACATGCTACAGAAGGCTTAAGGGAAGTGCTACAGACTGGCATAAAATCTGAAAATCATGCCTGAAAAGAACTAAAACTTGAATCCCCCCTCCTTTTAATTTTAAAATCCTAATTATTGCACCACACTGACTTCGGAAGGCATGACTGTTTTCAAATCATATGCTTCATTTATTTCCCAAGTTCGCCTGTTCGGGATTTTCATAATTTTTGGAACAACGAACTAACCACACGGGCTGGATTTGCACAAATAAAGCCGTAGAATTTTTTAAAAAGCCATTTTGATCAACAGTTTGCATGAATCATCTGCCGAGGTCTTTATCTGGCTGTCTAAGTGTTTTGTTTGATCACAGCCAAGGTGTGAATAATCTAAAGCAGATAGGTGATTAAGACAAAGCCTATAATGGTTGCAGCCACAGGCCAGCTTTTTTCCAGCTCTTAGCAACAGATAAGACAAACCACCTCGGAAGCTTCTGCTTGTTAATTATTTGCTGTAATTCAAAGAGACCCAGAGATGGACGACTGGGTATCGGGAGATCTTTATGGGCAGGGCTTATCAGATCGTTTCCCCAGTATTTCTTGATTAAGCCAATTGCAACAATCTCGTGTTCTATCAATGGCAGAGGGCCTGTTTTGCACACGGTCCAAGGTTCTATTACAACCTTCTCTCCAGTTCGGGGGAAAAAACCAAGAAAGAGGAGATATGAAAGTCTTTTTTTTTTTTCAGATGCTAGAAAGTGAGAACCGTTTTGATGTAATAAAAAGCTGTCAGCACCACTACCGTAGGTAGACTAGACTTGAAAATCAACTCCATGGGAGGACACTTTATTGAAATATAATAGCACAATCTTGCAACTGATTGCATTAGAACAGGGGTCTTCAAACTTGGCCTTTTTAGGACTTGTGGACTTCAACTCCCAGAATTCCTCAGCCAGCAACGCTGGCTGAGGAATTCTGGGAGTTGAAGTCCACAAGTCCTAAAACACAGAATAAGAGGCTTGGAAGGGACCTTGGAGATCTTCTAGTCCAACCCCCTGCTCAAGCAGGAAATCCTATTATCATTTCAGACAAGAGGCTGTCCGAACTTTTCTGAAAAACCTCAGCGATGATATACCCACAACTTATGGAGGCAAGCCATTCCACCAATTTAATTGATTGATAAATTAATTAATTAAAATATTATACACTCTCTCTTTTTTACGTCCCAGTAAATCAGGGAGGAATTTGCCTGAGTTACTTATCTTTTTTTCTTCTGGACTTAAAACATGTTTTAAACCTTGGATCTAGCCCAGGGGTAGGTAACCTTGACTCTTTTATGACTCATGGACTTCAACTCCCAGAATTCCTGAGCCAGCCATGCTGAGGGGAAAGGGAGAGGTTTCCAAGCTGAGCCATGCTGGCTCAGGAATTCTGGGAGTTGAAGTCCACGAGTCATAAAAGGGCCAAGTTTGAAGACCTCCTATATTAGAACATAGAACACAGAATAAGAGGCTTGGAAGGGACCTTGGAGGTCTTCTAGTCCAACCCGCTGCTCAAGCAGGAAATCCTATTATCATTTCAGACAAGAGGCTGTCCGAACTTTTACACCCCAGTACCAGAATCTTACCTCAGCTGGAGTCATCTCGCTAACAGGATCAAATTCTTCCTGCAAGAGAAACAAAGAGAGGGATATTTACCAGAACCTAATATGTGGGAAAGGGACACAAAGTGTGACTGGACTGTGGAAGGAGGGGAGGTCCAGCTGACTAGGTTGGTGACTAAGGGATAGAGACTGCAGTTAGATCAGGAGAATCAGGAGCTGGCAAGTGAACTACGGGTAATCATCATCATCATCATCATCATCATCATACAGTTGGAAGGAACCTTGGAGGTCATCTAGTCCAAGCCCCTGCTCAGGCAGGAAACCCTATACCATTTCAGACAAATGGCTGAATGTGCCTGGCTAAGGAATTCTGGGAGTTGAAGTCCACAAGTCATAAAAGGGCCAAGTTTGAAGACCCCTGGTCTAAGAGATGCATCCATGAACTTGCTAAGCCTGGGGTTGCTCACTTGTTTGATAGATAGGTAGTCCTTAACTTACTACCATTCATTTAGTGCAGTGTTTCTCAACCTTGACCATTTTAAGGCATGTGGACTTCAACTCCCAGAATTCCACAGCCAGCAATGCTGGCTGTGGAATTCTGGGAGTTGAAGTCCACATGCCTTAAAATTGTCAAGGTTGAGAAACCCTGATTTAGTGACTGTTCCAAGTTAAATGGCACTGAAAAAGAGTGACACAACTCATCCTTCCACTTACAACAACTTGCATCATGGTCATATGATCAAAATTCAGGCGCTTGGCAACTGGCGTGCATTTATAATGGTTGCAGGGTCCTGGGGTCAGGTGATCGCCATTTGCAACCTTCCCAGCTGACTTGCAACAAGCAGAGTCTGCTTAACTCAATCTGAATAGAGCTGGAAGGGACCTTGGAGGTCTTCTAGTCCAACCCCCCTCCTCAAGCAGGAGACCCTACAACCAGGGGTATCAAACTGCCCGGCCCACGGGCTGGATGCGTCACATGGGGGCTGCGCCCACCCCCAGCTTCAGCAAGGGAAAAAAAAGTCACAGTACGTTGCGACACGTCACATGATGCGGCGAGCTTGACACCCCTGCCCTACACCATTTCAGATAGGTGGCTGTCCAGTCTTTTCTTAAAAACTTCCAGTAATGAAGCACCCAGAGCTTCTGGAGGCAAGCTGTTCCACGGGTTCATTGTCCTCCCTGTTAGGAAATTTCTCCTTAATTCCAGATAGCTTCTCTCCTTAATTAGTTTCCATCCATTGTTTCTTGTCCTGCCCTCGGACACTTTGGGGAATAATTTGACCCCCTCTTCTTTGCGGCAGCCCCTCAAATACTGGATACTGTTATCATGTCACTCCTAGTCCTTCTTTTCTCTGGACTGGCCACCCCCAACTCCTGCAGCCGTTCTTCATATGTTCTTGTCTCCAGTCCTTTAATCATCTTAGCTGCTCTTCTCTGCACTTTTCCCCAAGTCTCAATATTTTTTTTTATAATGTGGTGACCAAACCTAGATGCAGTGTTCCAGGTGTGGCCTTGCTAAGGCTTTATAAAGCGGTACTAATACTTCACGTGATTTTGATTCTGTGCCTCTGTTTATACAACCAAGCATGTAATTCACTTAACGGCAGCAATTCACTTAACAACCGTGGTATGAAAGATCGTAAAATCGTGTGGGACTCACTTAAGAACGGCCTTGCTTAGCAGCTGAAATTCTGATCCCAATTGTGGTTGTAAGTCGAGGACCACATGTAAGTGGGGACTTGCACTAGCCCAGGGGTCTTCAAACTTGGCTCTTTTATGAATTGTGGACGTCAACTCTCAGAATTCCTGAGCCAGCCATGCTGAGGGGAAAGGGAGAGGTTTCCATGCTTAGCCATGCTGGCTCAGGAATTCTGGGAGTTGAAGTCCACGAGTCATAAAAGAGCCATGGTTGCATACCCCTGACCTATACCATCTCAGTCAAGGACTGTCTAGCCCAGGAGTAGGCAACCTTGGCTCTTTATGACTCAACTCCCAGAATTCCTGAGCCAACCATGCTGAGGGGAAAGGGAGAGGTTTCCATGCTTAGCCATGCTGGCTCAGGAATTCTGGGAGTTGAAGTCCACGAGTCATAAAAGAGCCATGGTTGCCTACCCCTGACCTATACCATCTCAGTCAAGTGACTGTCTAGCCCAGGAGTAGGCAACCTTGGCTCTTTTATGACACGTGGACTTCAACTCCCAGAATTCCTGAGCCAACCATGCTGAGGGGAAAGGGAGAGGTTTCTATGCTTAGCCATGCTGGCTCAGGAATTCTGGGAGTTGAAGTCCATGAGTCATAAAAGAACCCAGATTGCCTACCCCTGCACTAGCCTGTTGTGCAAATCCCCACCTGTTTGGTTTAACGCTCCGTGCAAGCCCACATTATGGATTAAATCAGTAACCAGATCATGTATATTATGTGAATGTAGCACAAGGACCCCCTGACTCTTATCTTCCCCCAGGTAAGCAGACTTTCACCTCCTTGCACTGAGGCCTTGAATCGTGCGTAGGACCTTTGCAGAACCCAGGAGCGTGTGGCTGTTTTCACCTGATGCTTCCGTCAATACAGCCTAACATTGCATTAGCATCTTTAGCAACTTGACTGCGTCACTGTGTACCTCACAATAAAGACTGAGCTGCATAGAGCTACGCTTGCTGAATTGATTTCTCTTTGGAAAACACATTCCGTGAGCCCAGAAAAATCTCTTTTCACCTGTTTCTTGCAAGAAAAGGGGACATCGTAAACCAAATTAAAAGACTCGAATAGCCAAAATCCACCCAGGCAGGATTGTCTCTGTTTCAGCCCCTTTCGCAATCTGCTTAGAGAATCACCCACAATTATTTTTAATGATGCAGATTTATTTTCAGGAGAGAAAGATGGAAAGGGCAGAGAAGCCAGCAATTCTGGGGCAGGAATGATGGCGACAGATATTTATGATTGGCTGTTCCCAGGTCAGATTGCTAATATAAATCAACGAGTTTGTCAAAGGGGGGGGGGAGAGGCTTGTTTTGCGCTACCGCTAAGACACAAACACAATCAAAACAAGAGGCGGAACTGTGCTGAAGGTATTCGCCTGTGGCCATACAGGTAGTCCTCGGATTACAACCATTCATTTGGTGACCATTCAAGTTAGAAAAAAAGTGACATGAGCCTTTTTCACACTTACGACCGTTGCAGCATCCCTTTGGTCATGGGGATTAAAATTTGGATGCTTGGCAACAGGCTCATATTTATGACGGTTGCAGTGCTCCGGGGTCACGTGACCCCCTTTTTGTGATGAGCAAAGTCAACGGGGAAGCCAGATTCACTGAACAACTGTGCTACTGACTTAACCACCGCAGTGATTCAGTGTGGCAAGAAAAGTCATAAAATGGGGCAAAACTCAACCAACAAGCTTAGCAAATGTGGCATTGCAGGCTGACTCTGCCCACTGCCGGGAGTTCGATCCTGAACCAGCTCAAGGCTGACTCAGCTTTCCATCCTTCCGAGGTCGGTAAAACGAGGACAAAGATTGTTGGGGGGGGGGGGGGAATAGGCTGACTCTATAAGCCGCTTAGAGAGGGCTGTAAAACACTGTGAAGCGAAATATAAGTCTAAATCAGGGGTAGGCAACCTTGGCTCTTTTATGACTCATGGACTTCAACTCCCAGAATTCCTGAGCCAAGCCATGCTGAGGGGAAAGGGAGAGGTTTCCATGCTTAGCCATGCTGGTTCAGGAATTCTGGGAGTTGAAGTCCACAAGTCATAAAGCGGCCTAGACCTAGGCCAGAGATAGGCAACCTTGGCTCTTTTATGACTCGTGGACTTCCACTCCTAGAATTCCTGAGCCAGCCATGCTGAGGGGAAAGGGAGAGGTTTCCAAGCTGAGCCATGCTGGCTCAGGAATTCTGGGAGTTGAAGTCCACGAGTCATAAAAGAGCCCAGGTTGCCTATCTCTGGCCTAGGCCTAGGCCACTTCATGACTTGTGGACTTCAACTCCCAGAATTCCTGAGCCAGCATGGCTCAGCTTGGAAACCTCTCCCTTTCCCCTCAGCATGACTGGCTCAGGAATTCTGGAAATTGAAGTCCACGAGTCATAAAAGAGCCAAGGTTGCCTATCCCTGGTCTAAGTGCTAAGGCTGTTGCTATTTTAAGTCAGGGACTACCTGTACATTAGAGCAGAGTTTTTCCAGCCTTGGCAACTTTAAAATAAATGGATTTCAATCCCCAGAATTCTCCAGCCAGAATTCTGGGAGTTTAAGACCGGATGTCTTCAAGTGGCCCAAGCTGAGAGGCAATGTATTAGGGGAAATTTTAAAATTTTCTCCAAACAATACTGAATTTGGGTTTCCCGTACAAATCGTCTGACAGAATCAGCTCAAAGGATGTCAACCATTTTGCTCTGAGGGTTAGATAGCTCAGTGCTTTTTGGAAGCTCAAACCAAGTGGAATTTTTCCAATGTCAGGCCCTTTATATACTCTTGAGTCCTAATTTAGAAGCTATAATAAAGTGTGCATTGTGTATGTGCTTCTTAATCAGTGGATGTGGTCACATGTTAATTAGCCAGCTCTTGTCTGTACCAGTGATATTTCAACCTTGGCCACTTTAGGAAGAAGAGGGTGCCAAAATTAGCACAACTGTGCCACAGGCAAGATTTTTCTTCTAATGGTAGGGATAGTACCAGTCAGCTTAGTTGTAGTTTGGCCAGGATGTGCAAAGAACCGAAGCACAGCTTTATTCTAAATGTTTTCACACAATATTATGTGAACAAAGATCTGTAATATAGAACAGCGATGCTGGCTGGGGAATACTGGGAATTGAACTTCACACATCTTAAAGTTGTGAAGGTCCAAAAACGCTGGTTTAAATTGAAGGTCAGGAAGAATACAAGGCTAATCCATTTTGCTAAGGAGGTTGTAGGATAAACAGGCGGTTTCTTACTTAGGCATGTGTGAATTCCAAAAGCCAAATTGTCTTGAATTGGGAAGTTAGGTTCATAAATCCTGGAAAACGCCCCCCCCCCTCAAAAAAAACCTTCAGCACAGTCTTAACCCTCTACAGCCACCCTAAGGGCCCATCTAATTTTTAGTTCCTGTGATTTTTGCAAGGAGAGGAACGGATACGGGGCGGCTGGCCCACACTTACCACCACCGAAATGCGGACGCGTTTCGACTTGTGCTTTTCGGATGCCCCCGAATTCTCCTCCTTTTAATTTTTACCAGGGGAACAAAACAAATGGGAGGGAGAGAGAACATAATTTCAGGAAGGGAGCAGCTGAGCAGGGACAGGTCTGCCAGGTTAGGGAGTGAGCAGCATCCTGGGAAGTGAAGATTTTTTTTGCTCAAAGATGGAGAGAGAGACGGGGTGATAAAAACGGAGAGCTCACCTCCGCGGACTCTGCTGTGGAGGAGTTGGCACAAAAAAGGTTCCTCAAGGTGATGCCCGGAGTCTCTGTCGTCCCAGCTGTCCACAAAGAGGGAGAGAGGGACAGGGAGGAGAGAGGGAGGGAGGAAGAGAGAGTAGGGAGGGAGGGAGGGAGAAGGAAGTAGGGACGGGAGACAGGGAGAGAGAGAGGAGGGAGACAGGGAGAGAAAGAGGAGGGAGGAAGGGAGAGAGAGAGAGGAGGGAAGGAGAAGGAGGAGATGGAGAGGAGGGAGACAGGGAGAGAGAGATGAGGGAGGGAGAGAGAGAGGAGGGAGGGAGAGAGAGAGGAGGGAGGGAGAGAGACGGAGGAGAGAGGGAAGGAAAGAGGGAGGGAGAGAGAGGGAGAGAGGAGGAAAGGAGAAGGAGGGAGATGGGGAGAGAGAGGAGGGAGGAAGAGAGAGAGGAGAGAGGGAGAGAGAGGGAGGATGGAGGGAGGGAGAGAGAGAGAAGAGGGAAGGAGAAGGAAGGAGACAGGGAGAGAGAGATGAGGGAGGGAGGGAGAGAGATGAGGGAGGGAGAGAAGGGAGGGAGGGAGGGAGAGGAGGGAGATAAGGAGAGAGAGATGAGGGAGGGAGAAAGAGAGGAGGGAGGAAGAGAGAAGAGGGAGGGAGGGAGAGAGGAGGGAGGGAGAGAAGGAGGAGGGAGGGAGGGAGAGAGAGAGGCCTCATAATTATTCAGAGAGTAGCTGGGGGAGGAGCCAAGTGCCGTACAGGTAGTCCTCGGCTTATGCCCGCAATTGAGTCCATTTTTGTTGTTAAGTGAAACATTTCTTTTGGGAATTTTACCCCATTTTACAACTTTTCTTGCCACGTTTCTTAAGTGAATCGCTGAAGTTGTTAAGCTAGTAACATAGTTGTTAAGTGAATCTGGCTTTCCCATTGACCTTGCTGGTCAGAAGACCACAGAAGGTGATCCTGTGATCCCCCCCCCAGGGACCCTACAACCGTGTTCCCAAGCATCTGAATTTTGATCACGTGACCACGGGGATGCTACAACCGTTGTAAGTGTGAAAAACGGTCATAAGTCACTTCTTTCAATCCCACTGTCACTTCGAACAGTCACTAAATGAACTGTTGTTAAGTCGAGGATGACCTCTATGGCTCAGAGGACTAGCCACTTGAAGCCCACCGTTAAGAGACAAATGCACCGGGGCAGTTTGGGAAGCAGAAAGTCACCCTCTAAGACTGGGCTCTTCAAACTTGGCCCTTTTATGACTTGTGGACTTCAACTCCCAGAATTCCTCAGCCTGGCTGAGGAATTCTGGGAGTTGAAGTCCACAAGTCATGAAAGGGCCAAGTTTGAAGAGCCCTGCTCTAAGAGAAAACTGTGCTGCTTGCCTTGCGCAAATAAAGCAGAGTATTTGTGGCTCAGGGCTGAAATGAGGGTGGGTGGTTTTCCTGCAAACATTTCATCACCCAAACTAGGTAACCTTTTCAGTGCTAGTAAGGAGGGACAAGTAGCAAACGAGCTTTTTCAGTTACCTGAAGTATTGTCCGATAAAGTGCTGGGGACCCTTTTCAGAGCCGGCTTCAGGGGTTTGCGGGGTTCGCTTTGTGGAGGGTGGAAGGCGGACTCCTCGGGCACAATCTGGTTGGAGAAGAAAAAAGAAGAAGAAAGAAGAAATTAGAAATGGGGCTTAATGGTTTATGAGAAAGACTTTGGGGAAGGAGGGGAAGAAACGCTGCCTCGGACAGCCTTCCCCAATCTTTCTGAGCCCTGGTGGCGCAGTGGTTAGAATGCAGTACTGCAGGCTACTTCGGCTGACTGCCGGCTGCCAGCAGTTTGGCAGTTCGATCCTGACCGGCTCAAGGATGCTGACTCTGCCTTCCATCCTTCCGAGGTCAGTAAAATGAGGAGTCAGATTGTTGGGAGGCAAATATGCTGACTCTGTAAACCACTTAGAGAGGGTTGTAAAGCACTGAGAAGTGGTATAATAATAATAATAATAATAATAATAATAATAATAATAATAATAATAATAATAATAATAATAAGAAGAAGAAGAAGAAGAAGAAGAAGAAGAAGAAGAAGAAGAAGAAGAAGAAGAAGAATTCAAACAGACAAGCACTTGCAACATAACACCCCAGACTTAACAATTGTCGATAAGAAAGACAAAAAAGTCTGGATAGTGGACGTGGCAGTGCCTGGAGATAGCAGAATCGAAGAGAAAGAACTGGAGAAGATCACAAAATACAAAGACCTACAAATAGAAATAGAAAGACTGTGGCAAAAGCAAGCAAGGGTAGTACCAATAGTCATAGGCTCCTTGGGTGCAATCCCAAAACAACTGGAGCACCACTTGAACACCGTTGGCATTGACAAATTCGCTATTAGTCAATTGCAAAAGGCGGCCTTACTAGGAACTGCTTCCATCCTGCGACGGTACCTGTAATACCATCAAACATCCACATCTGCCTATCCCAGGTCCTGGGTAAGGACTCGATAGGCAGACAAAATGATAGGTAGACAAAATGCCAAATCCAGTCTGAGCATCTGGCTGACTGTGCGATGATCAATAAATAATAATAATAATAATAATAATAATAAGTAGTAGTAGTAGTAGTAGTAGTAGTTGGAAAGGACCTTGGAGGTCATCTAGTCCAATCCCTTGCTCAGGCAGGAAACCTTATACCATTTCAGAAAAATGGCTGTCCAGTCTCTTCTTAAAAACTTCCAGTGTTGGAGCATTCACCGCTTCTGGAGGCAGGTTGTTCCACTGGTGAATTGTTCTCACTGTCAGGAAGTTTCTCCTTACTTTTAGGTTGCTTCTCTCCTTGATTAGTTTCCATCCATTGCTTCTTGTCCTGCCCTCTGGTGCTTTGGAGAAGAGCTTGACTCCCTCTTCTTTGGGGCAGCCTCTGAGATATTGGAACACTGCTATCATGTCCCCCCTCGTCCTTCTCTTCATTAGACTAGACATACCCAATTCCAGCAACCGTTCCTTATATGTTTTAGACTCCAGTCCCCTGATCATCTTTGCTGCTCTTCTGTGCACTCTTTCTGGAGTCTCAACATCTTTTTTACATCACGGTGACCAAAACTGGATGCAGTATTCCAAGTGTGGCCTTACCAAGGCATTGTAAAATGGTATTAATACTTCACGTGATCTTGATTCTATCCCTGTTAATGCAGCCCAGCACTGTGTTAGCCTTTTTGGCAGCTGCAGCACACGGCTGGCTCATATCTAAGTGATTGTCCACTAGGACCCCGAGATCCCTCTCAGAGTTGCTACTATTGAGCCAGGTACCACCTATACTATACCTGTACATTTGGTTTTTCTTGCCTAAATGTACGTTCTATTGCTATTCTGGCTTGACGGACCAGTGGAGGGACGGCAGCAGAGTGACAGCGTAGAGTGGATGGTTTCATCCGTGCGTGCCACATTCACAATTCCATTTTTGTATGTGGGTGCGCTTGCCCACTATTTCCGCGATCCCGTTCCAAACAGGCCACACCCTGGCACCGGGCCACAGACCGGAGGTTAGGAATCTCTGGCCTAGGAAACGATCGAAGAGAGGCAGCAGGCCTCAGTGGCTCAACGATCAGAGGAAGAAATTTAGGAAGCACCTGCCCTAATTGTTCAGCTGCTTAAAAATGGCGACGGGAGATTTGTACTTTCAGATTTGCCAGATTCTGTTAACTTAGCTTTGCAAGACAAGAAATCCACGGCTTACAACTTAGCAACCGTTTCAAGTTATGACGGATCTCCCTGGGGGGGGGGGGTTACTTACGATCCAGATCCAAAGTTCTATTGGCTGCCCCTCTCCCTGAGGTCACATGACTGCACTTTGGGCTGTGGGCAAGCAGGCTACATTTAAAGCCATTTGCAGTGTCCCACACTCATGGGACTGCGTTTTACTTACTTATTTAATTTACTTATTTATTTTAGAGAATTTCTATAGTCGCCTACTCGCTCACAGCAATTCTTGGCGGTTTATAGACAATTACGACGGTTTTCCTGAAAACTGGCATTTACTTCTGGGTGGTTTTTTTTGGCAAAACTGGCCCACATAAATCCATTAAATCGATTAATGTCTGTTGTGTTTGCTTAATGACCGCCGCAAAAAAAAGGGTCAGTCACATGGGTGACCTGATTTACAACTGTCATTAATTATGACCATGATGGGCAGGGTTCATAACAGTCATAATTTGAGGACTGCCTCTAAAATAATAATAATAATAATAATAATAATAATAATAATAATAATAATAATAATAGTGATGATGATGAAAGGGACCTTGGAGGCCATCTAGCCCAACCCCTGCTCAGGCAGGAAACTCTATACCATTTTGGACAAATGGCTGTCCAGTTTCTTCTTAAAAACTTCCAGTGTTGGAGCATTGACCGCTTCTGGAGGCAGGTTGTTCCACTGGTTAATTGTTCTGACTGTCAGGAAGGTTCTCCTTAGTTCCAGGTTGCTTCTCTCCTTGATGAGTTTCCATCCGTTGCTTCTTCTCTTCCCTTCAGGCGCTTTGGAGAATAGCTTGACTCCCTCTTCTTTGTGGCAGCTCCTGAGATATTGGAAGACTGCTATCCTGTCCCCCTAGTCCTTCTCTTCATTAGACTAGACATATCCAATTCCAGCAACCTTTCTTTATATATTTTATTCTCCAGTCCCCTAATCATTTTTGTTGCTCTTCTCTGCACTCTTTCTAGAGTCTCAACATCTTTTTTACATCGTGGTGACCAAAACTGGATGCAGTATTCCAAGTGTGGCCTTACCAAGGCCTTGTAAAGTGGTATTAATACTTCACGTGATCTTGATTCTGTCTGTCTGTGAATGCAGCCTAGCACTGTATTGGCCTTTTTGGCAGCTGCAGCACCAGCTGTCATTAATAGAATTAGCTCATCTGGTATTGTTTCCTGTTGGGATAACCCAGGAGGCCTGACAGTCACTCTGACCCCAATAGGATGATAGAAGGTGACTGTGTGTTTCTCTTTTTCCAATAGTTTTGTAGGAGAGGACCAGGCTGAGCCTGAGGGAGGGGTCAAAACATGTCATCAGTCATGAGTCCCTGTGCCCCCACAAGAGATCTAAGCCCCGCCCACCTAGCATTCCTTTCTTTAACTCCCGCTCATTTCCCTTGACCATTAGTAGCTCAGATTTTTGTAGAGAACTAGCATTCCTTTCTTTAACTCACACTCATTTCCCTTGACCGTTAGTAGCTGAGATTTTTGTAGAGAACTAACTAGCATTCCTTTCTTCAACTCCCGCTCATTTCCCTTGACCTTAGTAGCTCAGATTTTTGTAGAGAACTAACTAGCATTCCTTTCTTCAACTCCCGCTCATTTCCCTTGACCGTTAGTAGCTCAGATTTTTGTAGAGAACTAACTAGCATTCCTTTCTTCAACTCCCGCTCATTTCCCTTGACTGTTAGTAGCTCAGATTTTTTTTAGAGAACTTAAGCTTGTAATCAATCTTTGTACATATTTGAATTACCAGAATCTCCTGATTCCCCCACACTTGGCAGGTTTTCAGCTTTACAAAATGGAAGGTGCCGGCAAAGTCGCCCTTGGTGTACAGAATGCCTGCAGTCACCTGAAAGCGCACTCCTGTGTCTGGCACATGGTGTGGCTCCTTGTTCTCCTGACTCTTCTCAGGGAGTCGGTGCTCCAGCTGGGTTTTCTCCTGCATAAACTTCCGGCGGCGAACGTAGCTCAGCTGGTCACGGAGGAGGGCGCCAATCTGAGTGCGGTCAACGGATCCTAGCAAGATCATGGATTCTGCAGAGAGAAGCAGGAGAAATGGTGCACACATGCCATGCGTTTAACCAAATCAGATAAAGATTAGGAAACACATTTGCCAGCACCATAAGCTTGTTTAGTGTTAAGCTTGACTTCCAGTTTACCATGCCGGGCAAACTCAACCGTTTCTGGATCCCCAGAGTGGGAGCATCTGAAAATGGGATAATTCTCTTATGTTTTTGAAATAATCCAGAAGATTTCCAAGGTGCCTTACAAACTCTGTCATTCTGTTAACCTCTAGGACTATGCAAATGCAATGCAAATGCAACCAGCAACTCAGTTGCCAGGCGGCTAGCTTGATTCACTGTATGAAGTCCCAGTTCTCTTAAACTTGTGGTGAACTACTCCTCCCAGCAACCTCTGCATGTGTTATGCAAATGCAACCAGTGATTCCCTACCTACTTCATCCTGCATGCACAGCTGCCTTTCAAATGTTGGCATGCAAATTCTTTCAACGTATTTCCCTGACCCCCTGCTGCTCAGGACATGTAACTCTGCTTGTTCCTCCAAAAGGCCAAATGGAGGTTACAAGGATTGTGGCAAAGTTGAATTGCACACTGAATAGTGCTACTGAGAACTGGGCAGCTTCCTGTCCCTTTTACAGCAAGTCTGAAGACACCGGGCTTAAAGCTTCTCCTATTATATTCAGAGATAACTGATTGTACCAATATGAGGCGAGTGCTATAATAATGGCCCTCAATTATTCCTCAAATCCTAATTTCCTGACCAAGGTCATTCCCATTTCTCAGAATCTTTTTTTAAATATGCTACCACAGACCAGCCTTTAAGAAGAGATTTGACAACCATTTGTCTCCTGCTTGAGCAGCGGGCTGGACTAGAAGACCTCAAGATCGCTTCCAGCTCCTATTCTATTCTATTCTATTCTATTCTATTCTATTCTATTCTATTCTATTCTATTCTATTCTATTCTATTCTAATTCTTTGAAATGATAACTCATTGTGCTTTTTCTCCAGCTAAAGAATGCCCATTTGCTGCTGAAGCCCTACAAATGTTTCAACAGACTGTTACAAGCTTGTTTTTGCTGCAAATATATCTCAGGGTGTTTTTAAGCAGAAGCACTGCAGACCACAGCTGCAAACTTTCGACTATTCAGCTCCGCTTTTGCTTCTTAGATTCCACCAGCAGAATCAGCATTTATTTCTTTTTGATCTTTTTTTTAGACTTTTGCCTTAACCAAGATCAAAGTGTTCACTTGGGCGGAAAACTGACTAGGGACTCTTCAGCAAGACCCTTTTACCCCCCCACCTGCTTGCTCAGTGAGATCGGGGGGGGGGGGAGAACATTTTTTTAAAAAAAAACCTCTAGAAGTTATTAAACAACATCTGCTAGATAGAATGATGATCATATCCACAAGATTGCAGCTTTCTAAACCAATTGGGAAAATAAATTTATGGAGGCAACCTATTTCCTACATTTTATAGGCCTATAGTCTGGGCAGAAAAGAAGGAAGGAAGGAAGGAAGGAAGGAAGGAAGGAAGGAAGGAAGGAAGGAAGGAAGGAAACAAATGAGGAAGGAAGGAGGGAAATAAATGAGGAAGGAAAGAAGGAAGAAGGAAGGAAGAAAAGAAGAAAGGAGGAAGGAAGGAAGGAAGAAGGAAGGAAAGTGGGAGGGAGGGAGGAATTAAGGAATTAAGGAAATGAGGAAGGAAGGAGGGAAATAAATGAGAAAAGAGGAAGGAAGAAGGAAGGAGAGACATGAGGAAGGGGTAAATAAATGAGGAAGGAAGGAAGGAAGGAAAAGAAGGAAGGAGGAAGGAAGGAAAGGAGGGAGGGAGGAATTAAGGAAGGAAGGAAGAAGGAAGGAAGGAGACAAATAAGGAAGGAAGTAGGGAAATAAATGAGGAAGGAATTAAGGAAGGAAGGAAGAAGGAAGGAGACAAATGAGGAAGGAAGGAGGGAAATAAATGAGGAAGGGAAGGTGGGAGGGAGAGAGGAATTAAGGAATTAAGGAAGGAAGGAAGGAGACAAATGAGGAAGGAGGGAAATAAATGAGAAAAGAGGAAGGAAGGAAGAAGGAAGGAGAGAAATGAGGAAGGGGGAAATAAATGAGGAAGAAAGGAAGGAAAAGAAGGAAGAAGGAAGGAAGGAAAGGAGGGAGGGAGGAAGGAATTAAGGAAGGAAGGAAGGAAGGAAGGAGACAAATGAGGAAGGAAGGAGGGAAATAAATGAGGAAGGAAGGAAGGAAGGGAAGATGGGAGGGAGGAAGGAATTAAGGAATTAAGGAAGGAAGGAAGGAAGGAAGGAGACAAATGAGTAAGGAAGGAGAGAAATAAATGAGGAAGGAAGGAAGGAAGAAGGAAGGAGACAAATGAGGAAGGAAGAAGGGAAATAAATGAGGAAGGAAGGAAGGAAGGAAGGAAGGAAGGAAGGAAAGAAAGAAAGAAGGAAGGAAGAAAAAAAGAAAGGACAGGACTCTATTTAAGATCAGGCAAACCAGGAGTGGTTAGTTTTTTTTCAGCCTCAACAACCTCAGCAAGCTGTATGGACTTCAACTCCCAGAATTTCCCAACCAGCATCACTCCTCTAAAGAGAGGAGCAGATGCAGTTCAAAACCCAGCCCTCTCCACTACTCTATTCCACAGCCGCAGAATTGATCCAGCAGCCTTCCAGCCTGAACACGGCGGATATTTGACTGTTCCATAAACAAGAGAGTTTTCTATGCAGAATTCAGTCCCTGGAGATTTCCACATTTCTTAATGTCTTTGCTTTTAAAAATTAAAAAGGTCGTAGCCACACTGGGGAACAAGATAAGGAACGATTCCTGTTCCTTTCGGCTCTTCCTGTGAGATGCGGACTTAGCAAAACGTGCCAAAACTACTAATTTGGATGACTAATGCAGTAGAGGACTGCGATTGTTGGCTTTTTTTGTGTTTTTTTTTTTTTGTGTGTGTGTTTCTAAAGAGAGGAGCAGATGCAGTTCAAAACCCAGCTGGGATGTGAATAAGAACGACCCAAAAAAATAAATCTAAAAGGTGGATCAGGCCAAGAGCTCACGTAAGCCAGCATTCTGGGTCCCACAGGGGCCTATCTATTGCATCTGAACAGGAAATAACCCTCTTCTAGGGTGGTTCTCTAGCAGCCAGTGCTCAAGATATACAGGTGGTCCTTGACTTACAACAGTTCATTTAGTGACCGTTCCAAGTTACAACAGCATTGAAAAATGTGACCTATGACCGTTTTCCACACTTACGATCCTTGCAGCATCCCCAGAGGTAACGTGCTCAAAATTCAGACGCTTGGCAACTGACTCATATTTATGACGGTTGCAGCGTCCCGGGGCCACGTCATCGCCTTTTGCGACCTCCTTACAAGCAAAGTCCACGGGGAAGCCAGATTCACTTAACAACTGTGTTACTAATTTAACATCTGCAGTGATTCACTTAACAGTTGTGGCAAGAACGATCGTAAAATGGGACAAAACTCACTTAACAAATGTCTCACTTAGCAGCAGAAATTTTGGGCTCCGCTGTGGTTGAAAGTCGAGGACTCTCTGTGTTTATTTTATTTATCTCTCTCTTTACTACTTTTTAAAAAATATAAATAACTCCAGGTGACGAACATATTTAATATTCCTTCTTTCTCTCTGCTTTCACCACTGTGAGGAGTTGGGCTGAAGGGGAATGGAAGGAAGGAATGAAGGAGGGAGGGAGGGAGGAAAGAAAGAAGGAAGGAAAGAAGGAGGGAGGGAGGGAGGGAGGAAAGTAGGAAGGAAGGAAAGAAAGAAGGAAGGAAGGAGGGAGTGAGGAAAGAAAGAAGGAAAGAAGGAAGGAAGGAAGGAAGGAAGGAAGGAAGGAAGGAGAGAGGGAGGGAGGGAAGAAAGAAGGAAAGAAAGAAGGAAGGAAAGAAGGAAGGAAGGAAGGAAGGAGGGAGTGAGGAAAGAAAGAAGGAAAGAAGGAAGGAAGGAAGGAAGGAGAGAGGGAGGGAGGGAAGAAAGAAGGAAAGAAGGAAGGAAGGAAAGAAGGAAGGAAGGAAGGAGAGAGGGAGGGAGGAAAGAAAGAAGGAAGGAAAGAAGGAGGGAGGGAGGGAGGGAGGAAAGTAGGAAGGAAGGAAAGAAAGAAGGAAGGAAGGAGGGAGTGAGGAAAGAAAGAAGGAAGGAAGGAAGGAAGGAAGGAAGGAGAGAGGGAGGGAGGGAAGAAAGAAGGAAAGAAGGAAGGAAGGAAAGAAGGAAGGAAGGAAGGAAGGAGGGAGTGAGGAAAGAAAGAAGGTAAGAAGGAAGGAAGGAAGGAAGGAGAGAGGGAGGGAGGGAAGAAAGAAGGAAAGAAGGAAGGAAGGAAGGAGAGAGGGAGGGAGGAAAGAAAGAAGGAAAGAAGGAAGGAAGGAAGGAGAGAGGGAGGGAGGAAAGAAAGAAGGAAATAAGGAAGGAAGGAAAGAAGGAAGGAAGGAAGGAAGGAGGGAGTGAGGAAAGAAAGAAGGAAATAAGGAAGGAAGGAAGGAAGGAGAGAGGGAGGGAGGAAAGAAAGAAGGAAAGAAGGAAGGAAGGAAGGAGAGAGGGAGGGAGGAAAGAAAGAAGGAAAGAAGGAAGGAAGGAAAGAAGGAATGAAGGAAGGAAGGAGGGAGGGAGGAAAGAAAGAAGGAAATAAGGAAGGAAGGAAGGAAGGAGAGAGGGAGGGAGGAAAGAAAGAAGGAAAGAAGGAAGGAAGGAAGGAGAGAGGGAGGGAGGAAAGAAAGAAGGAAAGAAGGAAGGAAGGAAAGAAGGAATGAAGGAAGGAAGGAGGGAGTGAGGAAAGAAAGAAGGAAAGAAGGAAGGAAGGAAGGAATGAATGAAGGAAGGAGAGAGGGAGGGAGGAAAGAAAGAAGGAAGGAAGGAAAGAAGGAAGGAAGGAAGGAGAGAGGGAGGGAGGAAAGAAAGAAGGAAATAAGGAAGGAAGGAAAGAAGGAAGGAAGGAAGGAAGGAGGGAGTGAGGAAAGAAAGAAGGAAATAAGGAAGGAAGGAAGGAAGGAGAGAGGGAGGGAGGAAAGAAAGAAGGAAAGAAGGAAGGAAGGAAGGAGAGAGGGAGGGAGGAAAGAAAGAAGGAAAGAAGGAAGGAAGGAAAGAAGGAATGAAGGAAGGAAGGAGGGAGGGAGGAAAGAAAGAAGGAAATAAGGAAGGAAGGAAGGAAGGAGAGAGGGAGGGAGGAAAGAAAGAAGGAAAGAAGGAAGGAAGGAAGGAGAGAGGGAGGGAGGAAAGAAAGAAGGAAAGAAGGAAGGAAGGAAAGAAGGAATGAAGGAAGGAAAGAAAGAAGGAAAGAAGGAAGGAAGGAAAGAAGGAATGAAGGAAGGAAGGAGGGAGTGAGGAAAGAAAGAAGGAAAGAAGGAAGGAAGGAAGGAATGAATGAAGGAAGGAGAGAGGGAGGGAGGAAAGAAAGAAGGAAAGAAGGAAGGAAGGAAAGAAGGAATGAAGGAAGGAAGGAGGGAGTGAGGAAAGAAAGAAGGAAGGAAGGAAGGAAGGAAGGAAGGAAGGAGAGAGGGAGGGAGGGAGGGAAGAAAGAAAGAAAGAAGGAAGGAAGGAAGGAAGGAAGGAAGGAAGGAAGGAAGGAAGGAAGGAAGGAAGGAAGGAAGGAAGGAAGGAAGGAAGGAAGGAAGGAAGGAAGGAACAACAGTCAGTCAATGATGCTAAAAACCGGGAAAGATTTTGTTGAAAATGTTGAGATTCTGTCCCAAAGAATGATTAAACTATTCTATGTTTTGTAAGAGAAACATGCAACATGTTTAGCCTAATTCTTGAATTAACCAATTTTCTGAGCTTGCACAATACACAGGAACTATACATTAATTTTTGGTTAATAGGCTGGGTTCACCAAGAGTGAACCAAGATTAATACTATTCAAGTTTAATCTCAAAGGTTGTTTTTTTTTTTTAAAAAAAAAAAGCAACTGGACTGTTTTTTCTTGAGGAAGAAGACAATGTTTTGCTTCTTATCCAAGAAGCTTTGTCAGTTGTGACACTTGGATGAGAAGCAAAAACTTTTCTTCTTCTTCCTCAAGAAAAAACAGTCCAGTTGGTTTTTTCTTTTTTAAAAAACAACAACAACACACCTTAGAGACAAACTATGACCTGGATGACTGAGAATAACTGAGAATAATAAATAGACATTTATTCAAGTTTAGCCTGTGGATGCAGAAACAAGACCTTTAGCTGACTTGGTTCAGTTTGTCGTGTGAACGTAACTGACGAAATCAGTATCAACATCCTTAAGGATGATCAAGAAATAATATAAAGGGGAAGTCAAATGCGTCATGTCCTACTAGACTATCATTGTTGCCATGATGTCTTTCTGGCGTATATATAATATAAAAAAACCCACACAAATCTAGCTTGATCTAAAAAGAATTTCAAAAATATCACGGTGGCAATTATGATTTGAAACGGATCATTTCCCCTCTCTAATTTTTGCATCCAATTCAGCGACAACGTGCAGCTTTTTGATTTTGTTTTAATTTGGGCTCTGTGATGTCAGTAGCTGCTCGGTTGACTCACCAATCGATAAAGCATTAGGAAACCGGCACGTTGCATCAGCTCCTTTGGAAGAGGCATTGGGACAAACTGGGAGCATCTATATTTGTCACAATGGAAAACGGACCAGGCCATACACGTTGCGCCTATGTTCAGGCGCCGATGATTTCCCTTTAAGCATCTGCAATACCAGAAGCCATAAAAAAAACCAACAACACAGATGCACTAATGCATCTGTAATGGGAAAGCAAGCTTAGAATAGAATCGAGCTGGAGGAGACCTTGGAGGTAATAATAATAATAGTAATAATAATAATAATAATAATAAAGTTGGAAGGGACCTTGGAGGTCATCAAGTCCAACCCCCTGCTCAGGCAGGAACCCTACACCATTTCGGACAAATGGCTGTCCAGTCTCTTCTTAAAAACTTCCAGTGTTGGAGCATTCACCGCTTCTGGAGGCAGGTTGTTCCACTGGTTAATTGTTCTCACTGTCAGGAAGTTTCTCCTTAGTTCCAGGTTGCTTCTCTCATGCACAGTTGATGCCGCGGGGCGCAGGCAGAGGGCCTGGCCAGCATGGCGCTGCTGGGCTGCCTGGGTGATCTGCAGTGGCTCCTGGAGGCGGTGAGTGGCTCTGTGGGCAGGTGGGGTGGGGGTGGGGCGGGGCAGAGAATGGAGCAGGGGCGGGGCCAGTTTTGGGGCACTCAGTCTCCAAAAGGTTCGCCATCACTGGCATATAGTATGGGCACATTGGTTACAGGTCATCCTCAACGTATGGTGCACAACTGGGAGCAGAATTTCCACTGCTAAGCAAGACCGTTGTTAAGCGAGTCCTGGGCTCTTCAGCGAATCACTGCAGTTGTTAAGTCAGGGGTCTTCAAACTCGGCCTTTTTATGACTCATGGACTTCAACTCCCAGAATTCCTCAGCCAGCGTGCCTGGGAGTTGAAGTCCATGAGTCATAAAAGCGCGGAGTTTGAAGACCCCTGTGTTAGGTGAATCACAACTCTGTTAAAAGAATCTCGCTTCCTCTGTTGACTTTACTTGTCAGAAACTGGCTAGGAAGGTGGCACATGGCAATCACATGACCCCGGGATGTTGCATCCATTGTAAATACATATCGGTTGCCCCCTATCCCAATTTGGATCCCATGACTGTAGCGATGCTGTGACAGGCGTGAAGGGCAAGGATCAGTCACAAGTCAACTTTTCCGTGGCACTGTAATTTCAAACGGTTGGTAAACAAGTGGTTGTAAAGGAAGACTACCTGTGTGCGATTCACGTGGCCAACTTTTGTTTTAATTCAACGTTCATTTTCTACTAAACTCTTAGCACCCAATACACCCACTTGCTTGGTATGTTAGGACTTCCTTTTTTTTAACGCTTAGGCTTTCATTACTGTTGGTGTGGCTAAGGAACCAGAGTTAGCGTGCAAGACTCCAGTTGTGTCTGATGCCAGGCAGTCCAATCGTGGGCTTGAATTAGTAAAACTAAACCCAAGGGTTAGAATACAGTATCGCAGGCAAACTCTGCCTACCGCCAGGAGTTCGACCCTGACCACAGTTTTGTTCCATACAGTATAAACCAAAGGTCTTCAGACTTGGCCCTTTTATCACTTGTGGACTTGAACTCCCAGAATTCCTCAGCCAGCCTGCCTTTCAAAAGCCAATAGGAATTGTCCAGGCTGTCTCTGCCCTGCTGAGCCCGCCAAAAGTCCCATTCTGCAAACGGTGCTGCACCAGTTGAGTAGTCCTTGACTTACCACCGGTTGAGTAGTCCTCGACTTACGACCGGTTGGGGGTCGCGGCATTATAAAGGTTGAGAACCACTGGTCTAAGTGCTAGTGCTATTGCTGGTTGTAAAAAGTAGATTGGGGGTATTTAGTTCTTGCTTGGAAAAGACAAGTTCTACAACTCCTGGGCTCATCCTGCCTCTCCAACTTGCCTGCCCATATTTTTCTCTTACCAGCTGATTCCACCAGAGCTAGGCTTTTCATCTTGGTGCTGTGTAACACATCCTGAAGATCCCGGTACCTACAGTTCAGGGTGATATAACGCACGTCGCGCACCATGATGTCCTCCACGCGTACGTTGTACTTCCTGAAAAGGCAAACAAGCTGGCTGAGTTTACACGCTTACTGTAACTTGATCATAGATTTAACCTACTCTCTGGATATTACCCATGCATTAAACCAGGCAGGCAGTCTTTGACTTATGACCACAACCGAGCCCAACATTTCTGTCGCTAAATGAGATATTTGTTCAGTGAGTTTTGCCCCATTTTATGACCTTTCTTGTCACCGCACTTGTTAAATTAGTAGCCCGGTTGTTAAGGGAATTCGGCTTCCCCTTTGACTTGACTCATCAGAAGGTCGCAACCCTGCAACCGTCATAAATATGAGTCAGTTGCCAAGCGTCTGAATTTTGATCACATGACCGTGGGGATGCTGTAAGGCCTGCAAGTGTGAAAAACGGTCATAAGTCACTTTTTTTGGTGACGTTGTAACTAAATGAACTGTTGTAAGTTCGAGGATTACCTATACAGTGAACAAAATCAGCGGGTTTTTTTTTTATAATTAATATTTTTCAGCAGAATTAAAGTAGACATTTTTTTTAAAAAAAGTGAGAAAACAGAATATTTAAAAAAAACAAGCAAAAAAGAAAACACAGACTTAAAACTTCCACTCTTCTTTCTGTTAATTGCCATCTTATTCTTACACTTTCCTCTTTCACCCATAAATAAAATCCATTTATCATCAATGCAGTCTTTTCTCCTTTCAACCAAAAGCCCGTGTAAAGCTTCCAGTCTTTTGAAAGAAAAATCTTACTGCTTTTTCCCTGGCCAATGAAGTAAATTGGTTGGATTCAGACAACACACTAACAACTTGGAAAATAACTTAAGAGTAATGTTAAGCAAGGATCGGTGTGTTATGTGAATGCATTTGCTAGATCTTTGACTAATATGCTGAAGACTCTGATATTACAGGCACGGCATTGTTCTTTAAAGCAGAGGTGGATAACTCAACCCAACCCACACCAACCCTTCACAAATCCTTTAATTGGTTCCGGGAGATGTAATGAGTACGTACCAAAGAACAATGAGTACCAAACTAATTTTTCCCATAAGGAATAATGTAGTGAGTCACAAGGCAGCTGACACTGACAAGTTTTAGCTTGTGTGCTGAGTACCAAACAAACAACGAGTATAAAAAAGATGTTTTTTTATACAATGTAAAAAAGATGTCGAGACTCTAGAAAGAGTGCAGAGAAGAGCAACAAAGTTGATCAGGGGACTGGAGGGTAAAACATACAAGGAACGGTTGCTGGAATTGGGTATGTTTAGTTTAATGAAGAGAAGGACGAGGGGGGGACATAATAGCAGTGTTCCAATATTTCAGGGGCTGCCACAAAGAAGAGGGAGTCAAGCTATTCTCCAAAGCACCTGAAGGCAAGACAAGAAGCAATGGATGGAAACTAATCAAGGAGAGAAGCAACCTAGAACTAAGGAGAAACTTCCTGACAGTTAGAACAATTAACCAGTGGAACAACCTGCCTCCAGAAGCGGTGAATGCTCCAACACTGGAAGTTTTAAAGACGAGACTGGACAGCCACTTGTCTGAAATAGTATAGGGTTTCCTGCCTGAGCAGGGGGTTGGACTAGATGACCTCCAAGGTCCCTTCCAACTATATCATTATCATTATTATTAAGTTCTTAGGTCAAAATATATTGAGTAGCCAATTGGATGAATTTCAAAGCAGTTGAACACCAACGTACCACTGTACACTGGACTTCCTTCCTGGATTTTGAAGAGCAAAAGGGGTCCTTAAATTGCTGTATATCTGCTTTGATCTCTAATACTTTGGCCCTTGAAAAATACTCTCCTTAGTCACCCTGCCGCACTTCTCAAAGGAAAACCCCGTAAAAAAGAAATACAGTGTGTAATCCTCAGCTTCAGGGAAGTTGTGCACCTTGGTCCCAGAGAATCCTGCAGGGTTACAAGGTCTGTAACAGCAGCAAGGAATTGGACACTTGCAAAATGCAGTTTGCATGAAGCAATTGAGGCTACCCTGCAGGGTTACAAGGTCTGTAACAGCAGCAAGGAATTGGACACATGCAAAATGCAGTTTGCATGAAGCAATTGAGGCTACCCTGCAGGGTTACAAGGTCTGTAACAGCAGCAAGGAATTGGACACATGCAAAATGCAGTTTGCATGAAGCAATTGAGGCTACCCTGCAGGGTTACAAGGTCTGTAACAGCAGCAAGGAATTGGACACATGCAAAATGCAGTTTGCATGAAGCAATTGAGGCTACCCTGCAGGGTTACAAGGTCTGTAACAGCAGCAAGGAATTGGACACATGCAAAATGCAGTTTGCATGAAGCAATTGAGGCTACCCTGCAGGGTTACAAGGTCTGTAACAGCAGCAAGGAATTGGACACTTGCAAAATGCAGTTTGCATGAAGCAATTGAGGCTACCCTGCAGGGTTACAAGGTCTGTAACAGCAGCAAGGAATTGGACACATGCAAAATGCAGTTTGCATGAAGCAATTGAGGCTACCCTGCAGGGTTACAAGGTCTGTAACAGCAGCAAGGAATTGGACACATGCAAAATGCAGTTTGCATGAAGCAATTGAGGCTACCCTGCAGGGTTACAAGGTCTGTAACAGCAGCAAGGAATTGGACACATGCAAAATGCAGTTTGCATGAAGCAATTGAGGCTACCCTGCAGGGTTACAAGGTCTGTAACAGCAGCAAGGAATTGGACACATGCAAAATGCAGTTTGCATGAAGCAATTGAGGCTACCCTGCAGGGTTACAAGGTCTGTAACAGCAGCAAGGAATTGGACACTTGCAAAATGCAGTTTGCATGAAGCAATTGAGGCTACCCTGCAGGGTTACAAGGTCTGTAACAGCAGCAAGGAATTGGACACTTGCAAAATGCAGTTTGCATGAAGCAATTGAGGCTACGCCGGTAGAAAAACAATATGAGCGGCCAGCCTAAAAGCTAAACGACGAACTAGATTCCAAAGAGGAGAAATAAATCAAGAAATCCAGAGTTTTTGCTCCCTATTGCAGGGGTCTTCAAACGTGGCCCTTTCATGACTTATGGACTTCAACTCCCAGAATTCCTCAGCCAGGCACGTGTCACAAGTCCACAAGTCATGAAAGGGCCACGTTTGAAGACCCCTGCCCTATTGCTTTGTGGGCAGATTGAGAAGATAGCTGGGCGTTTTTGAGAAGAGATTGGACCACCGTTCGTCTGAAATGGTACAGGGCAGGGGTCCCCAATTCCCAGTCCGTGGCCCAGTGTTGGGCCTCGGCCCACTCAGAACCAGGCCGCAGAATTGGTGGGCGAGTGTGCGCGCACGCCTGAAGCTGCATTTGTGAAAGCGGTGCACGCAAGCTCACAAAACCATCCCGTCTCCCCTTCTCACAGCGCCACCTCCGCCGGTCTGCCGAGGTTGGGGAGCGCTGGTGTAGGGGTTGGACAAGAACAGCGGCCCCCGACCGTTTGGGCAGCAGGGACCGGGTCCACGGAGAAAGGTTTTTCCATGGACTGGAGAAGGCGTGGTTTGGTGTGTTGCCTGCATCTTTGCTCCTTTGTGCGACCCGGTTGCTGGTATGCCACAGAGGGGTGCCGATCCAAGGACCGGGGGTTGGGGACCCTTGGACTAGAACAGTGATGGCGAACCTTTTAGAGACCGAGTGCCCAAACCGCAACCCAAAACCCACTTATTTATCGCAAAGTGCCAGGGCATTGTGCCCTCAGGGGGTGGGTGGGCGTGGGCATGGCCCACTGGGTGGGCGTGGCTGCAATGGACACAGCAGACTGAGTGGGCGTGGTCAAAGTGTGTGTGGCCACCTTGATGTTGCTCATGGGGGGATGCCTGTGGGGTCTGGGCAGGATTGGGGGAGATCCAGGGAGTCTCTGGCGGGTGGGGCGGTGGGCAGGAGGCTCGTCCTGCGGGGTGAGGCAGGGGGTAGGGCGCGAGTGCCATTGCTGCGGGGCAAGATGAGGCAGGGGCGGCTACTGCCTGACACCATCAGCCCCTGCACACACAGAGGCCAGCGAGCGCAGGGGGGGCGCGCTCTACCACCTCTACTCGAGCTTGCTAGCCAGCTGCTTCACCTCCTTTGTGCTCAGTGGAGCTGCCACTCTGGGCACCAGCGGTGGCCTAATGGACCTGCGCGAAATGGCGGCGGCGACAGGTGTGCCCACAGAGAGGGCTCTGAGTGCCATAGGTTCGCCATCACTGAAGATCTCTAAGGTCCTTTCCAACTGTTATTCTGGCTGTTTTGAACTATAGCTGCCATCAATGATTGTTACTCAGGGCGCTCCGCATCAAGCTCCCTGCAGCGTCACAGCCCTTGAGTAAGGGTCTCCCCCACATCCGTGCACACTTACTCCTGGTGTCCCCAACCCAGCTCTGGCAAATAGGGCAGTTTCTTGATCCGGATGATGCTGTCGTACAGGGAAGGCTGCAAGCTCTGGGCCACAGCGTTAGCCAGGATCACCGCAATCATAACTGGCAGGATGTGTGAAATCTGGCCGGTCAGCTCGAAAACGATGACGGCGGTGGAGACCGTGTGGGTGACGGCCCCAGAGAGGGCAGCTGCACCTGGGGGGGGGGGTGAAGGGAGAGAGCCATGTCAGTGAACAGCAGCACCGTTTTCTGCATTAGGAGATGGGGAAGGCTTCAGATTGGGCAGATAACCCGCTGGCAGTTCAGAGGGATCCAACATTTGGAGATATATATATAAACACAGACAGTGCACATTAACTACGTAGAATTAAAGAGTCCCCCTGACTTACAGTCATATGAAGAAGGGAGGAAGAGCTGGGGTATCGGCACAAGCAAGGAGAGTGAGGAAATTACAGCTTGCAATACAGAAACTACGATCAAAACGCAGGTGGATTGGCTGGGACCTATGACGAGGTCAAGAAGCCGGGCGCAAAGAGCGCCACATTTATAAATAGTTTCTCCCATTGACTGGACGCTACCCTGATGATGCTGGCAGAAGCCAGCGAAAGCTTGGTTTTATTCTGGTTTTATTCTATTAAAACTTTTTATAGTTTTATAACTTCCTGGTGTTCGTATATTTTATTATTTAACATGAGTCTACCCAGGAATCACTGTTTTGTTTTTAATATTCTTAATATATATATATATATATATATATATATATATATATATATATATATATATTTTATTGATTTTCTCATTTTACAATTGTGTAAATGTGTACACAATAGTGTACATAAATCTTTAGTATAACTCTCCTGTTACAACATCAGATATTTCCTCTCTTTTTCCATTAATATCTGTTATCTCATATTAGGGTAGTACAGGGGTCTTCAAACTTGGCCTTTTTATGACTTGTGGACTTCAACTCCCAGAATTCCTCAGCCAGCGTGCCTTTCTTTCTTTCTTTCTTTCTTTCTTTCTTTCTTTCTTTCTTTCTTTCTTTCTTTCTTTCTTTCTTTCTTTCTCTTTCTTTCTTTCTTTCTTTCTTTCTTTCTTTCTTTCTTTCTTTCCATCCATCCATCCATCCATCTCTGTCTGTCATCTATCTATCTATCTATCTATCTATCTATCTATCTATCTATCTATCTATCTATCCATCCATCCATCCTTCCTTCTCTATCTGTCTGTCTCTGTCATCCATCTAACCATCCATTATCTATCTATCTATCTATCTATCTATCTATCTATCTATCTATCTATCCATCCTTCTCTATCTGTCTGTCTCTGTCATCCATCTAACCATCCATTATCTATCTATCTATCTATCTATCTATCTATCTATCTATCTATCTATCTATCTATCTATCTATCTATCTATCCAATTCATATGGCCAGCCACCTCAGCTCCATGTGACTCTATGAATGGTGTACATAGTTACACACAACTAACAGTTACAACCTGCCATCCTTAAAACCAATTTAAAAAAATATTAAAACTTTTATTAGTGATGTCACTGAAGTGGGGTCTGCAAGAGCTATTCTAAATCTCACTCTCCCAGTTTGTGAGACCTGAAGGGCTGAGGGTCCTTCTCCCCTATACGACCGACCTTGAAACTTCTCTCTCTCTTTGTTACTACTTTAACCTTCTTTCTCTTTCTCTCGCAGCCCGGAGACGTAGCTCCTCCAGCCAAACTATTGTGTGAACGCAACTGCTAATTCTTGAACTGAGGTGGGTGAAGCCCGTGGTTGTGTGTTTGTATCGATGCGACCAGCCTTGCTGAAACCTTCTGGAAATAGAAGAAAGGTTGCCTCTTACCTACCACTGCGTAACCCCCTGGCACAATGCGGTAGATATTGCTGTCGGTGTGAATGCCGTCAGGGAACCACGCTGCCATGCTCTCACCCATCAGCCTGCCAAAAGCTGCCCCTGTGTGAAGAGAGGAAAAGTCAGATGGGTGGGACAGGAGCAGAGAGACATTTTCTGCTCCTGGGATGAAGGAGGAACTGATATGCTGGGTCTGGGGTGGGGCCAAACAAAACGCACAGGCTGCCATCCCATAAGACCCAAAAAATCCCCCTCCCCAATAAACCACTTTCAATAACAGAATAGCAGAGTTGTTATTGTTGCCGTCGTTAAGTTGGAAACATGGCTGCTAAGCGAATCCGGCTTCCCCACTGATTTGGCTTTGTCCGAAGGTCGCAAAAGGGCATCTCGTGACCCCAGGACACTGCAACCGTCATAAATATGAAGCAGTTGCCAAAGCATCTGAAATGTGATCCCCGTGACCTTGGGGATGCTGCAACGGTCGTACGTGTGAAAAACGGTCCTAAGTCGCTTTTTTTCAGTGCCGTCGTAACTTCGAACGGTCACTGAACGAAATGTTGTAAGGCGAGGACTATCTGTATTTTCACTGAACGAAATGTTGTAAGGCGAGGACTATCTGTATTTGCCTGGAAAAGGCAAGGCTCAAATCCAGGGTGATATCAAGAAAAGATGCAGCTCCAGAGTGGGCGTCAAAGAAAGAGGGAGAACAGGGCCCGGGGGGCTTAACTTACCAATAACGAAGACGGGCATGAAGGCCCCGCAAGGCACAGGGATGGTGGTAGCCAAAGCTGACATCCAGAACTGAAGGAAGACAGAAGGACAAATGTTAATTAGCGGGAGGGAAGAGTCCTCTTAGGTCGAGAGTGGAAACCTGGCAATTTTCAACTTGTCATTAGAATAAGTGTGGGGGGGGAGGGAGATGGGGTTCGAATGGGTTAGTTAGAGAAGCGAAACCTCCCTAGTTCTGCAGACTTTTTTTTTTTTTGAGACCAAGATGTGTGGAAACATTTCAAGGACATTCTAAGCCAGGGGTGTCAAACTCAATTTCATTGAGGGCCGCATCAGCATTGCGGTTGCCCTGGGGGGGTGGTGGCCAAGGTGAGTGCGGCCTACTGGGTGGGCAAAGAGTGGGTGTGGCCTACTGGGTGGGCATGACCAGCTCTACATCATTCGCGTCAAGGGGGCCTGTGGGGACCTGGGCAGGAGTGGGACAGATCTGGGGGTGTCTGGCAGAAGGGGGTGGGACCGGGGCAAGCGCCAAGGCATGGTCCATTTCTTCATTCCTCACAAAGGGGGACACCTCCCCAGCATGCATCCAGGGGGTGGGACCGACGCGGCAGGGGCTGGTTCCTCGCTGTTTCTAGACGGCCTTGTGGAGCTAAGACTGAATGCGTTTCAGCATAGATGGCCACCACAAAATTGTGCATTGGCCCCCGGCCGACCTGGGCCAGGGCCAAGGCAGTGGGGGCCGTTCCCTCACTGTTTCCAGGATGGCTTCGCAGGCCACATGAAACCACTTCATGGGCCACATCCGGCCCCCGGACCTTGCGTTTGACATGTCTGGTCTAAGTGCTGTGAAGAAGATAGCAGATGGTTTATTTATTTATTTATGAGACTTATATACCGCTTTAAGTGCAAGCACTCTCTAGGCGGTGTACACCAATAAGCAATGTATATATATATTTACATTGCCCCCAACAATCTGGGTCCTCATTTTACCTACCCCAGAAGGATGGAAGGCTGAGTCAACCTTGAGCCGGTGAGATTTGAACCGCTGACCTGCTGAACACAGTCAGCTAAAGTGGCCTGCAGTACTGCACTCTAACTGCTGCGCCATCTCGGTTCTCAAAACAACAAGAAAGCGTTTACATGAGTTACGTGGACATCTGGGAGGTTTGGCTGGGAATATCAATGTTATATGCTTGGTTTAGATGTCTTAGTTTTCCTTCGCCTATCCCAGGGGTAGGCAACCTTGGCTCTTTTATGACTCGTGGACTTCAACTCCCAGAATTCCTGAGCCAGCCATGCTGAGGGGAAAGGGAGAGGTTTCCAAGCTGAACCATGCTGGCTCAGGAATTCTGGGAGTTGACGTCCACGAGTCATAAAAGAGCCAAGGTTGCCTATCCCTGGCCTGTACCATGTCATGTATTCAATAAACCTGTAAAATTTTCAGAAATGAAAGAAATCGTGGCCTTTATTTGGATATTCGAGTTGACATTCTGACAATCTACGCTGGCTTCCCTAGTTTTCAGGGGTTTTAGCTTACCATTCCCGCAGCCTCCAGCTAGCAGGCCTGTTGGTTGCACCAGCAGTCCTCGACTTACGACAATTCGTTCAGTGACTGAAGTTACAACAGCACTGGAAAAAAAGATGGCCTCCAGCTGATCTTTGCGTTTAAATGAAATGACCACTGCAGTGTCCTCTCACAATCACGATTGAGGGGCTTAGCAACCAGCTCCCATTTATGACAGTCACAGCAATCCGGGTGACAAAGAAATATAATGACAATAATAATAAAAAAATCTAATATAATAAATGCAATCAAAAATGGGGCAGCCAGCAGAGAAGATGGCAAGCGACGGTCACGTGACTTTTCCCTTATAGATTGTGGGCAAAAAAAAAAAAAGTTTGTAAAATTGGGTGCAGTCGTGTGATCTCTCATTTAATGACCACCTTGATGAATGATGTCTACTGCAATTGTAAGTCAAAGACTTCTAGTGTATTGGCTGCAAGGCTGGAGCTGAAGCCGAATTCTGTTGAAAGGCCCTGGGTTCCAGAAAGCTAATTCATGGTGTCTCTTCCTCCAGATAAAAGGGAGACAAGAGACTTCTCTGCATTGAAATATGTATCATCCTGGAATTAACGGCCACACGCGAGTCCAAAATTTCTGTCGCTAAGCCAGTTGTTAAGTGAGTTTTACCCCATTTTACGGCCTTTCTCGCCATGGCTATTAAGTCAATCACTGCAGTCATTAAGTTAGCAACACGGTTGTTAAGTGAAGCTGGCTTCCCCATTGACTTTGCTTGTGATTACATGACACCCCCCCCCCCGGGACACTGCAACCGTCATAAACATGAGCCAGTTGCCACCATTAACCAGTGGAACAACCTGCCTCCAGAAACGGTGAATGCTCCAACACTGGAAGTTTTTAAGAAGAGACTGGACAGCCATTTGTCCGAAATGGTATAGGGTTTCCTGCCTGAGCAGGGGGTTGGACTAGATGACCTCCAAGGTCCCTTCCAACTTTATTTATTTATGATTATGATTATTATATTACAGATACAGGACAAATGAGGGGGAAACCCAGATTTTTTTTCTCCACATGAGGGCAAGGGCTGTGACAAGAATGTGAAGGATTTGGATTCAATTGGATTATGAATTGGCATAAATTCTATGCCCTCTCTGTTAATGAATAATAATTTGGCAAAGAGTAATGCTGTGAAAAAGGACATCTGTTTCCCACGAGAAAAATTCCTGTTTAAAGGATTTTGAATGGTTCTAATGTTAGAATGACAAGGTACCTGTCTGATATATAGATAAGTGGGTCTGTGTGTGTCTCTGTTCCAACTTTTATTATTATTATTATTAAGTGTCTGAGTTTTGCTCATGTGATGCTGGAGATGCTGCAACGGTCAGCGGTCTGAAAAATGGACATAAATCACTCGTTTCAGTGCAATGGCAACTTCGATCAGTCACTAAACGAAAAGCTGTAAATCGAGGACTACCAGTACTTTGGATTTTAAAAAAGGGGAGTTGACACAAACACACAAGAAATTGGAGGCCAGGATAGAAAAAGGGAATCAAACTGGAGATGGAAAAGCAACTATTGGGTCTGAACCACCACTGTCAGCTTGAAAGGAACTGAAATAATCGAGGATTTATTTATTTATTCTCCCTTGAATTACTGGAACTGATCTTTATTGAACTATGATCAAGAAACATTATCAAATAACCAAAGCAACATAAAATCTTAATGCATAGAGGGGGAAAAAAGAGATTAAAAAATACAAAAACAAATCTACTGGGGTTATATAGGTAATGTACGTGTAGAATTTTATTGTATATGTAAAGCATTCTAGATCCAAATTATAGTCTATTGCTATTGAGATAAATATGGATAAATCTATCCATATTTGATAAAGATTCCTGCCTCTGACATCTCATTATTTTAACTTTGTCATGATTTATCTTAATGTGGCAATTGAAGAAGCCTTGTTAATCCACCTCTGGCATCTAAGATTAACTGAAGAGCTCTTGACTGTACTCTATCATTCTGTCTGTCTTCCAGTGATGCAACTTGACTGAGATATTAATTTTAATTTATCCCTCTCCTTCTTTCCCTCCCTCCAGATGCTTTGCTGCCTTGTTCAATCATTTTATGCCACTTCAATCATTACAACTTCTTCTTCCAGTTTTTTTCTCACTGATATGCTACTCATGAGACTGTGTTCAAGGGAGGTCTATGAAGTTAGATGGATGATTTTGAACACTCCTTTCTCAACAGAGGGGGAGGGATATGACATCATCTATCTCCAGTCTACAACACAGTCCTTTCAGCAGTCCCAAGAAGGCTCCACACCTATTTGCACCACTCAGGTGACCTTGAAGGCACAGATAAACCTCCAAGTGGCCTCAAACGACTCTCTAAAACAGTGGTTCTCAACCTTTTTAATGCCGCGACCCCCAACCAGTCGTAAGTCGAGGACTAGTCACCGGTCGTAAGTCGAGGACTACTCAACTGGTGCAGCACTGTTTGCAGAATGGGACTTTTGGCGGGCTCAGCAGGGCAGAGACAGCCTGGACAATTCCTATTGGCTTTTGAAAGCCAATAGAATTAGACTATATTCAAGAGAGTCTATTCTATTGGCTTTCAAAAGCCAATAGAATAAAAGGGAGTAGCACAGCTAAGGAAAAGGGGAAAAAAAATGGTGGACTGCGTTGTTTGGCGACCCCCGTGAAATGGTCATTCGACCCCAAATGGGGTCCTGACCCACAGGTTGAGAACCACTGCTCTAAAAGAAGGCAAATGGCCAGCTGTCTGCAAGGAGAATAAATCCTCCCATTCCCCACCATCCAGTCAGAGCTGAAGAAGCTTCTTGGATGAGAAGCGAAACGTCTTCAAAGAAAAAGAAGAAAGTCCAGTTGCCTCCTGAAAAAACACCTTTGGGACAATGCTCAGAGTTTCCAGGATTTATGTTATTTCAAGCTATGTGAGAAAGAATCACATATTTGAGTGTTCGCTTACTATGAAATCTTTCTTTCCCAGGCCTTAAAAAAAAAAAAAAAAAAAAGCTAACCAGGAAGAAAGGCCTAATCTAATTTCCCCAAGTTCGTTTGTTAACTTGCTTCATCTGGTTACTGAATTAGCCCCATTTTGTGGGTTGCCCAATGCCTTAAACCATAATCTCATCAAGCAGACTGGGTTTGCAATAACAAGCTGTCATAAAAGACTCATAAAGGTGAATTGTCCACAAACGTAGCATGATGTACAATTTCATTTGTTAGACCTTTTGCTTAAACTTGTTATGTGAATATTCTCCCTTTATTGAGAGAAAAGCTAGGATTGCACTTTTCTTCTTAGTACCTTTTATAAGCTCGACACAGTGGTAATTTATCAAGAAAGATGATTAGGGGATTGGAGGCTAAAACATATAAGGAACAGCTGCTGGAATTGGATATGTCTAGTTTAATGAAGAGAAGGACGAGGGGGGACATGATAGCAGTCTTCCAATATTTGAATGGCTGCCCCAAAGAAGAGGGAGTCAAGCTATTTTTCAAAGCGCCTGAAGGCAGGACAAGAAGCAATGGAATGAAACTAATCAAGGAGAGAAGCAACCTGGAACTAAGGAGAAACTTCCTGACAGTTAGAACAATTAACTAGTGGAACAACCTGCCTCTAGAAGCGGTGAATGCTCCAACACTGGAAGTTTTTAAGAAGAGACTGGACAGCCATTTGTCCAAAATGGTATAAAGTTTCCTGCCTGAGCAGGGGGTTGGACTCTATGACCTCCAAGGTCCCTTCCAACTTTATTATTATTATTATTATTATTATTATTATTATTATTATTATTATGAACTCATGATTGTACTGTATTGATCCCATCCTTTTATTAATCTTTCCTAATACAGAAGGAAGTGGTTTGAGGCACCTCCTTCCAGACCAGGGAAGACAATTGCTCCCCTTGTTCAACACCAGGGGTCTTCAAACCTGGCCATTTTATGGCTTATGGACTTCAACTCCCAGAATTCCTCAGCCGGGCATGCTAGCTGAGGAATTCTGGGAGTTGAAGTCCACAAGTCATAAAAGGGCCAAGTTTGAAGACCCCTGGTTTATATTACCCCTGTTCAACACTAACAACCAGATAAGCAGAGATTACCATCAGAATCAATACTAAGCAATGATCAATCAGTAAACAATATCTCAATCAAGGAATCACCAACTCAGAAAAACAATCAAATCGTAAACAACCACCCAATCAAGGAACCACGAAGAAGAAAACAACCCTCCCACCAACGCTGACAGGACAAGCTACTGTATATATACACAAAGAACCCCTTCTCCCTTCTAGCACTGATGACGTTACCTAGTTGGGTAATGAGACGTCTGCAAGAAAACTATCACACTCGGAGAGCACCAAGGACTCCACAATACCAACAGATTTTGGAAAAAGACACTCATATTCCCAGACGCCACTAAAGGACACATCCAGGGAAGAGGCAGGCCTATCCAGAGCGGTCCAAAGCGACAACACACCTTCATAAGAATGAAAACCACCAGGGTGACAAAGACATTGGCGCGGGGGTGTTTCCAGGCTTCCGAAACGCCACCGAACTCAAATTCTTCAGCCAAGCCCTGCTTTGCCCACGTGCGGTTATCAAACAAGGTAACCAGAGTTTCCTTCTGGGTGAGCTGAAAGGGAAAAGGCAGAAGGTTAGGGGCACGATAACTGCTGGAAGCTTTGTATTGATTTCTCCTGGGCCCTGCAGCGGTGGCCAAAATTGTGGAAACCTTTTGGGAGAAGCGTACGGTAGAAATGCCACTTTTGGTTAAGTTTCCTCCCGTTTTTCTTCTAATTTCTTTAGAACTGTAGCCTTGTTCACTTAAGAATACTATTTTACATGGCTTTCTGGGTGACCAGTCAACTCTTTGCACCACTCCTTTAATTTTATGACGTTTTACGAGCTCGCTAAATCAGTGGTTCTCAACCTTTTTAATGCCGCAACCCCCTAACTGGTCGTAAGTCGAGGACTACTCAACTGGTGCAGCACCGTTTGCCGAATGGGATTTTTGGCGGGCTCAGCAGGGCAGAGACAGCCTGGACAATTCCTATTGGCTTTTGAAAGCCAATAGAATAGACCAGTGTTTCTCAACCTTGACCATTTTAAGGCATGTGGACGTCAACCCCCAGAATTCCACAGCCAGCAATGCTGGCTGTGGAATTCTGGGAGTTGAAGTCCACATGCCTTAAAATGGTCAAGGTTGAGAAACACTGGTCTATTCTATTGGCTTTCAAAAGCCAATAGAATAAAAGGGAGTAGCACAGCTAAGGAAAAGGGGGAAAAAAATGGCGGACTGCGTTGTTTGGCGACCCCCGTGAAATGGTCGTTCGACCCCAAATGGGGTCCCGACCCACAGGTTGAGAGCCACTGCGCTAAATGAAGATCCGGTACCATTTCAGACAGGTGGCTGTCTGGTTTTTGATGCCCCTTGATGCCACCCACCCTGGAAATGACGCCGGCTATTCCTTTAGGTCCGCTTTCCATCTTGGCCTGGAAAATTCTCCTTTTCCCTGGTTTTCTGCGTTTTCTCACAGCCCTGGGAAGTTCTGTTATCCCTTGACAAAAGATTTTCTGGGATGCCTGATTGACCTTTTCAGTTCTTCTTTCATGTAAGACAAAAACAATTTCCTGCTTAAATTACTAACAATCGGTTTATAGTTCTCTGATGAGAACGTTACAGCCTAATGTTGACTTGTTGCTGAAAATTAATCTGAACCAAAGGATTGGGCCCCTGTAGGGCACAATAAAAGCCAGGTTCGATTCCTGAAGACCTTCTCTATGAACACCTATCAAGGAAAGGGGTTTTTGAGGATGACAAGAGCAGTAAAGAATGCATCCAGCTTTGGTCACCACGATGTAAAAAAGATGTTGAGATTCTAGAAAGAGTGCAGAGAAGAGCAACAAAGATGATTAGGGGACTGGAAGCTAAAACATATGAAGAACGGTTGCTGGAATTAGGTATGTCTAGTTTAATGAAGAGAAGGACCAGGGGGGACATGATAGCAGTCATCCAATATCTCAGGAGCTGCCACAAAGAAGAGGGAGTCAAGCTGTTCTCCAAGGCTCCTGAAGGCAGGACAAGAAGCAACGGGTGGAAACTAATCAAGGAGAGAAGCAACCTAGAACTAAGGAGAAAATTCCTGACAGTGGAACAACCTGCCTCCAGAAGCGGTGAATGCTCCAACACTGGAAGTCTTTAAGAAGAGACTGGTCAACCCTTTGTCTGAAATGGTATAGGGTTTCCTGCCTGAGCAGGGGGTTGGACTAGATGACCTCCAATGTCCCTTCCAACTCTATTATTATTATCTAAGAACACAAAAAACCCCAACCAACTTGATAGCGATCACATAACACACTGACCAATGTCCTCCTCTCAGCTTCAATAGGTGACATCAGTCACCGAATCCTACTGTGATCTGATTGGCTCATGGCCAAAACAAGATGACACCCGATTGGCTCTCTAAACACTCAGGCTCATTGGCTACAATCAGATGAAGGAAAGCTACCTGATATCAACCTAAGCAAGTGGTGCTTCCTTTTTCTGGTTATTTGGCTATAGCTTTTCACAGAATACAGTACAGATAATGGAACAAACTATGTTGCATTACATTCTTGATTAAATTATCTTTCCGTTGATATATAATTTTATGGTACTACTCCCAAAAAAAAAGTGGTGTTATTAGTCATCAAACCTCAAAAATACACTTTTCTTCCCAAAAGGTTCCCACAATTTTGGCCACTACTGTACACTCCAAGCAGCCAGAACTTTGTATTCGATTTCCAGAAGATTAACCAGTGGAGCGACTTGCCACTAGAAGTTCTGGGTGCTCGAACACTGGAGGTGTTTAAAAAGAGATTGGACAAGCATTTGTGTCTGAAAGGGTAAAGGCTTCCCTGCTTGAGCAGGGGGTTGGACTAGAAGACCTCCAAGATCCCGTCCCACTCTGTTACAGGTAGTCCTCGACTTACGACACTTCATATAGTGACAGTTCAAAGTTACAATTGTTGCCGCATCCCCAGGGTCACGTGATCAAAATTCAGACGTTTGGCAACTGACTCATATTTCTGACGGTTGCAGTGTCCCGGGGTCCTGTGATCCCTTTTTACGACCTTCTGACAAGCAAAGTCAGAAGGGGAAGCCAGTTTCACTTAACAACCGTGTTGTTAATTCCACAACTGCAGCAAGAAAGGTCGTAAAAGGAGGCAGAACTCACTGAACAACTGTCTCGCTTAGCAAGAGAAATTTCGGGCTCAACTATGGCCGTAAGTCGAGGACTAGCTGATATTCTGCTGTGCGCAAACATCGCACTTCTACACCCGGAGCATCAAATAGCAAAACACGGAAAAACTAAGGAGAAGAGGAACAGTACAGGTAGCCCTTGACTTACAACTGTTCGTTTAGCGACCACTTGACATTACAGCGGCACTGAAAAAAGTGAATGACCGTTTTTCACACTTACGACCGTTGCAGCCTCCCTCTGGTCCCGTGATCAAAATTCAGATGCTTGGCAACTGGTTCGTATTTATGACGGGTTGCGGCATCCCACGGTCACGTTATCCCCTTTTGCGACCTTCTGATAAGCAAAAGTCAACGGGGAAGCCAGATTCACTTCACAACGGTGTTACTAACTGAAGAACCGCAGTGATTCACTTAGCAACTGTAGCAAGAAAGGTTGTATAACAGGGCAAAACTCACTTAACCACTGTCTCGCTTAACAACAGCAATTTGGGGCTCACGTTGTGGCCGTAAGTCGAGGACTACCTGTGATTGCATGACGCTTGATTGGACAGTCTACTTTGGGGGCTCAAAACTTACCTGGCCTGCCATGAATTGTCCGAAACCAGGTGGGAAAGTCAGCGTTGCTATGAGGAAGGTGACGAGAGCAGGAAAAAGCAAGCGCCTGTCAAGATCACAAGAACACAGCACAGGGTTAACATGGCAGCACAACACAATTTTGCTTCCTGCTTCTTCAGCTCCACATTCTGGTGCCCTTCGGAGGCGCTGCGTGTACACTTAAAGGTGTAATAGTAATAGTAATAATAACGTTGGAGGGGACCTTGGAGGTCATCTAGTCCAACTCACTGCTCAGGCAGGAAACCCTATACCATTTCGGACAAATGGCTGTCCAGTCTCTTTTTAAAAACTTCCAGTGTTGGAACATTCACCGCTTCTGGAGGCAGGTTGTTCCACTGGTTAATTGTTCTAACTGTCAGGAAGTTTCTCCTTAGTTCTAGGTTGCTCCTCTCTTTGGTTAGTTTCCATCCGTTGCTTCTTGTCCTGCCTTCAGGCGCCTTGGAGAATAGCTTGACTCCTTCTTCTTTGTGGCAGCCCCTGAGATACTGGAACATTGCTATCATGTCCCCCCTCGTCCTTCTCTTCATTAAACTAGACATACCCAATTCCAGCAGCCGTTCCTTATATGCTTTAGCCTCCAGTCCCCTAATCATCTTTGTTGCTCTTCTCTGTACTCTTTCTAGAGTCTCAGCATATTTTTTACATCGCGGTGACCAAAACTGGATGCTGGATTCCAAGTGTGGCCTTACCAAGGCCTTGTAAAGTGGCATTAATACTTCACGTGATCTTGATTCTATCCTTCTGTTAATGCAGTCTAAGACTGTGTTGGCCTTTTTGGCAGCTACAGCACTCGGCTGGCTCATATTTAAGTGATTGTCCACTAGGACTCTGAGGTCCCTCTCACAGTTACTACTATTAAGCAAAGTACCCCCTATACTATACCTGTACATTTGTTTTTTCTTGCCTAAAGGGATGTCTTAGGCCAGAGGTGGTGGGCAATGGTGGTCTTGGAAACCACACTGTCCCTCTACTATGGTTTGTGTGGTTTATTGTCAGGCACAAAGGATCGGGACCATACTTTCAATTGCAGTACAGATGATTTATTTCAAGCCTATACGAAAGTCAACTGGCCTATACCAAAGTCCAGTCAATTAATGGTCAGCACTAAATTGACGCTAGATAAAGGATCAATGGAATTCAAGGGAGGAGAGAACGGACTTAGACCATACATGTCAAACACAAGGCCCAGGGGCCGGATGCGGCCTGCAAAGTGGTTTCATGTTACGTTTGTCCAAAATGGTATAGGGTTACCTGCCTGAGCAGGGGGTTGGACTTGATGACCTCCAAGGTCCCTTTCAACTTTATTATTATTATTATTATTATTATTATTATTATTATTATTATTATTATTATCCAGGCTGCCAACCCCATCCCTTCCCATTCTGGTCTGTGTGTTTGCATTTGTGTGTGTGTGTGTGTGTGTCTGTGTGTGTGTGTGTGTGTGTGAGAGAGAGAGAGAGAGAGAGAGAGAGAGAGAGAAGAGAGAGGGAGGGAGAGAGAGGAGAGGAGAGAGAGGGAGGGAGGGAGAAAGAGAGAGAGAGAGGCACTTGTGCTTCCCTTTTCTCTCTCTCTCTCTCTCTCTCTCTCTCTCTCTCTCTCTCTCTCTCTCTCTGTGTGTGTGTGTGTGTGTGTGTGTGTGTGTGTGTCTATGTCTCTGTCTGTCTGTCTGTCTGTCTCTTTCTCTGAGTGGGGCAGACCAAGGGCAAGAGAGAACCAGCCCAGTAAGAAAGTGTGTCAGCTTGTCGTAGAACAGCATGAAGCCAGCTTCCCAGGTGAGCAGAAGATCGGAGAGAAGGAGAGAGAGAGAGAGAGAGAGAGAGAGAGAGAGAGAGAGAGAGAGAGGGAGGGAGGGAGGGAGGGAGGGAGGGAGGGAGGGAGGGAGGGAGGGAGAGAGAGAGAGAGAGAGAGAGAGAGAGAGAGAGACTCTCTTCTCTTTTCCCTTTTCCAGCCCCAGCCGGAGGTCTTCCCACAACCCAGTTACTTAAGCTACTTTCCGATAGGAAGGCCCTTTGGGCGTCCAGGATGAGACCTGCCCTGACCCCAAACCTGGGTCTTTGCCCGCCTTACTTTTTCATCAGGAAACGGTTGATGGTCTTCTGCTTCCGCATGAATTGCACAATTTTGCGATTGAAGTAGACAAAGAGGGCTCCTCCGAAGCCACTGGCGATCCTGAGGGGGGAGAAGAGGGATTAGCAGGGAGAGGAAAAGGAAGGCGGGGAAGGGGGGGGCGTCCTCATCCAGAGGCAGGAGAGCCCCCACACACACAAGCCAGTGATGCTCACCCAATCACTGCAAAAGCCGGCAGCTCTTGCAGATCGAAGGGGAAGTCCAGCCGGAAGCGGGTTTTGAAAAGAGCCGTGATGGTTTCTGAGGGAAAGATAACAAGCTGGAGTGAGACAGAACAAGAGGGACAATTCAGATAAAGGGTGTACAGATCTCTGTACCAGGAATACAGGCACTCCTCAATTTATGACTGTACAGGTAGTCCTTTGTCAAGGTAATGATTTAAAAGCTAACGAGCTGATGTAAGACGTATGATATAATGTTGGGAATGACTCAGCAAGGTCTGTGTCCCTTTAAGAACCAGCAGGGTCTGTGTCTCTTTAAGAGCCTTTGTACAGAAGGAAGGCTCTGCTGCTGTGTTTTCTCTCTTCTGTTTCCTGCTGTAACTGCTGCTTGTTTTAGCCTGCTGTATTAACATATGTATGTATATTGTTCCTGGTGTATGATATTGTAGATAGTGTAAGATAAACCACCATTTACTATAGACCACTGTTTACTGTGTTTACTCTTGGGTTATCTCAGCACAATAAGACTGTGCATGCTCTGACATCCTTGACTTACAGTCATTCGTTTAGCGACCGTTCGAACTTACAACAGCCCTGAAAAAAGTCACGTGATCAGAATTTGGGCACTTAACCACCGGCATGTATTTATGACCAGTGCTCTGGTCTCCAAATTTGGCAACTTTTAAAGACTTGTGGACTTCATCTCCCAGAATTCCTCAGCCGGCTGACGATGTTACAGCAACTGTGATTGGTGGATTTTAAGATTCGTTGTCAGCTATCCTGCTTTTAGCAAAATAGGCCAAAGGCAACAAGTTGGGAGGAAAAAAACTATGACCTATGACCTCTTCTGCCTTACATACAGGCCATTGTTTCAGAATTCCACCCTAAACATACAAGGCACTTTATTTAATATGTTCGGCAATACCCTTGGGCCACATCCTGATGCCACTTAATCCGTTCCTGAGCTCCTGCAGGAAAAAAACAACAACCGTACCTTCATCTTTGTTCCACACCGCAAGGACCCGGAAGATGAAGGCGCTGAAGGTGGCCGCGAAGAAGCCGCGCCAATAGTTGCGGACAGCAAAAAACGTGGAAGTGACTTCGATGCTGAAAAGGACACCTAACGGAGGAGAGAAGAAAAAAGGCATCTAAATTCAGCCCCATTTATCTAGGTCTCTGATTCTGTGGGTCAAACGTTAACCCTTTGTTAAGATTGGTGGCCAATAAATTTTACAAACAAACAAAGAAACTGACAAACCTTAGCTCTCCCACTGGTATTCTTCCAGTTTATCTGTCCTCGCTTTTCAAAAATGCAGCCGCCATTCCAATACCAGTGTTCCTCGACTTAGGACTACAACAGAGTCCCACATTTCCATTGCTAAGTGAGTTTTGCCCCATTACATGACCTTTCCTGCCACAGCTGTTAAGTGAACCCCTGTACTTGTTAAGTTAGTAACACGGTTGTTAAGTGAATCTGACTTCCTCTTTGACTTTGTTTCTCAGAAGGTTGCAAAATGGGATTACATGACTCCGGGACGCTGCAGCCGTCATAAATATGAGCCAGCTTCCAAGCGTCTGAATTTTGTTCACGTGACCGTGGGGTTGCTGCAACAGTCATAAGTGTGAAAAACGGTCACAAGTCACTTTTTTTAGTGCCGTTGTAACTTTGAACAGTCACTAAATGAACGGTTGTAAGTCAAGGACTACCTGTATCACCTTGGAAAAAACACCGTTAGCCAGAATGGATGGAACAAGAGGTAACAGCCACACACCTGGAATACTGCAGCCAATTTTGGTCACCATATCATAAAAAAGATGTTGAGAATTTGGAAAAAATTCAGAAAAGAGCAACTAAGACAGTGGTTCTCAACCTTTTTAATGCTGTGACCCCCCAACCGGTCGTAAGTCGAGGACTACTCAACTGGTCGTAAGTCGAGGACTACTCAACTGGTGCAGCACCGTTTGCAGAATGGGACTTTTGGCAGGCTCAGCAGGGCAGAGACAGCCTGGACAATTCATATTGGCTTTTGAAAGCCAATAGAATTAGACTCTATTCAAGAGAGTCTATTCTACTGGCTTTCAAAAGCCAATAGAATAAAAGGGAGTAGCACAGCTAAGGAAAAGGGGGGAAAAAATGGCGGACTGCGTTGTTTGGCGACCCCCGTGAAATGGTTGTTCAACCCCAAATGGGGTCCCGACCCACAGGTTGAGAACCACTGAACTAAGATGATCAAAGGCCTGGAGACCAAAACGTACAAAGAACGGCCGCGGGACTTGGTTTTGGATAGTCTAAAGTAAAGAAGAAATAGGGGAGACAGGATAACAGTATTCCAGTATCTGAGGGGCTGCCACCAAGAAGAGGGGGTCACGTTATTGTCCAAAGCACCAGAGGGCAGGATGAGAAACAATGGATGGAAACTGACCAAGGAGAGAAGCAACCTGAAATTAAGGAGAAACTTCCTGACAGTGAGGACAATTAACCAGTGGAATAGCTTGCCCCCAAAAATCATGAGCGCTCAATCACTGGAGATTTTCAAAAAGAGACTAGACATTCACCTGAATGAGACAGTGTAGACTGGACTAGAAGACCTCCAAGGTCCCTTCCTATTCTATTCTGTTCTGTTCTATCTCAATCATTACAAGATTGAGGGTTGGACTGGATGACCTTAGTGCAGTGTTTCTCAACCTTGGCAATTTTAAGGCATGTGGACTTCAACTTCCAGAATTCCACAGCCAGCATTGCTGGCTGTGGAATTCTGGGAGTTGAAGTCCACATGCCTTAAAATTGTCAAGGTTGAGAAACACTGCCTTAGTGGTTTCAGCTCTGAGAGTGGGGAGGAATTAAAACTGAAGAAGCTTCTTGGATGAGAAGCGAGACATTTCTAAGAAAAATCAAGAAAGTCCAGTTGTTATTTGGAGAAAAGCACCCTTGGGATACCTTAGATTAATCTAATGGCCCTGAAAAATATCTGCTTATTGCGGAAAATTGATGAAAAGCCCTCTGCGATTTCATCTTCTCTCCTCAAGAAGGAATGACGCACAAAGGCACGATGACGACAACAAAAGATTAGAGTGAGGCAGCGCTAAAATCCAGAGAGTTGAACTTTAAAGGAATTATTTTTAAGCATCCTCCTCCTCTTTTGAGATCTCCAGTGGGCCAAAGTTTACTGGTGCTGTCAATCAACTTTAATATTTTCAAGGAAGCATAAATATCAAAAGAAGGAGAGAAGACGCTCCCTCACTCCTTCTAAAGCACACTTAATCTGAGGTAACCCACACTTATGGCATTTGACAATTCCTTCAGAAACAAGCGGTTGCAAATTTGGAGAGTCAATTTGCACTACGCAGTGTTTCTCAATCTTGACAATTTTAAGGCATGTAGACTTCAACTCCCAGAATTCCACAGCCAGCAATGCTGGCTGTGGAATTCTGGGAGTTGAAGTCCACATGCCTTAAAATTGTCAAGGTTGAGAAACACTGCACTACAGGAAGATGGTGGTGCAATAAATAGAGGAATCAACAAGGAGGTGCTTAACAGACCCATCTGGAAGTGTGTACTGTGTACTTGACTTAAAACTGGAGCAGAAACTAGAGCAGTGGTTCTCAACCTGTGGGTCGGGACCCCATTTGGGGTCGAACGACCATTTCACGGGGGTCGCCAAACAACGCAGTCCGCCATTTTTCCCCCCTTTTTCTTAGCTACTCCCTTTTATTCTATTGGCTTTTGAGAGCCAATAGAATAGACTCTCTTGAATAGAGTCTAATTCTATTGGCTTTCAAAAGCCAATAGGAATTGTCCAGGCTGTCTCTGCCCTGCTGAGCCCGCCAAAAGTCCCATTCTGCAAACAGTGCTGCACCAGTTGAGTAGTCCTCGACTTACGATCGGTTGAGTAGTCCTCGACTTACGACCGGTTGAGTAGTCCTTGACTTACGACCGGTTGGGGGTCGCGGCATTAAAAAGGTTGAGAACCACTGAACTAGAGTATCTTGGGATAATAACAATCTTGGGATAAATGGTTCTATCAGCTTTAATATTCAGTATTTCGCCTCCTCCTTAATATTCATCTGGATTCTTCCTCCTCAGTTAACTCCAACAGTTGGAAGGGAAGTTGGAGGTCTTCCTGGTCAAGAAGGAGACCTTATATCAGGAGTCTTCAAACCTGGCCCTTTTATGACTTGTGGACTTCAACTCCCAGAATTCCTCCTGCCTTATACCATTTCAGACAAGTGTCTGTCCAATCTCTTAAAATCTTCCAATGATGGAGCAGCTACAATAGGGGCCTTCAAATTTGGCCCTTTTATGACTTGTGGACTTCAACTCCCAGAATTCCCCAGCTGGGAAGCGAAGCCTACTGGCTGGGGAATTCTGGGAGTTGAAATCCACCCATCTTCAAGTGGCTGAAGTTGAAAAGTACAGTGTGGTCTGGATACTACACCTTAAGAAGGATTCAGACACACTATAACTGACTGAGTGATCAGATTAGAAGTGTATCGGAGACTAACTGAAGGAGCAGAATGCCTGGAGAGAAGAAGACAATTTACAGGAATATCACCTCAAAGATCAAGAGACATACACATACATTCCCATTACCACCATCCAGGTGGGACAGGGAATTAATAAAGAATATTGGATTTAACTATTTTCCAAATATTGGATTTAAGTATTTAACTATTTTCCAAAGCACCAGAAGGCAGGATAAGAAGCAATGGATGGAAACTAATCAAGCAGCGATCCACCCTAGAACTAAGGAGAAATTTCCTGACGGTGAGAACAATTAACCAGTGGAACGACTTGCCTCTGGAAGTTGTAGCTCAGGGGTCCTCAAACTTGGCCCTTTTATGATTTGTGGACTTCAACTCCCAGAATTCCTTAATTCAGCCCGAAATTTCTGTTTGCAAAGCAAGAAAGTTCTTAAGTGAGTTTTGCCCCATTTTATAAGCTTTCTTGCTACAGCTGTTAAGTGAATCACTGCAGTTGACAGGTTAAATACACAGTCGTTAAGTGAATCTGGTTTCCCCATTGACTTGGCTTGTCAGAAGCTCGCAAAAGGGGATCACATGGCCCCTGGGACACAGTAACTGTCATAAATATGAACCAAGCATCCAAATTTTGATCACATAAGCATGGGATGCTGCAATGGTCGTAAGTGTGAAAAACGGTCATATGTCACTTTTTCCAGTGCCATTAATTACTTTGAATGGTCACTAAACAAACGGTTGTTAAGTCAAGGACTACCTGTAGAACAGTATTTCTCAACCTTGACAATTTTAAGGCATGTGGACTTCAACTCCCAGAATTCCACAGCCAGCAATGCTGGCTGTGGAATTCTGGGAGTTGAAGTCTACATGCCTTAAAATTGTCAAGGTTGAGAAACACTGCACTACAGGAAGATGGTGGTGCAATAAATAGAGGAATCAACAAGGAGGTGCTTAACAGACCCATCTGGAAGTGTGTACTGTGTACTTGACTTAAAACTGGAGCAGAAACTGGAGCATTGCTGGCTGTGGAATTCTGGGAGTTGAAGTCCACATGCCTTAAAATTGTCAAGGTTGAGAAACATTGCTGTAGAAGCTTTGGGAACTGTGCACATTATCTGGAGGAAATGCCATTTGCTTCCTAAAGTTATCTATTCCTAGGAATTTGAGATGAGCACCTCCTATTCTTCTCATTATATTTTATTATAGGCCCTTTTTGAGTCTTTGTCTCCCGATAGCCCTTTTTATTTCCTTGCTAAAATGATTTCTCAAAAAACAGAAGTGCCACAAGTACGATTAAAAAAAACGTTGGTTTAAAGTCTGAATGCCCCCCCCCCCGTGCATTTTTCAAATTCCCAACCAATTCTTCTTTGGTGTTCATCGCGTGCATTTACACAAGGAGGTTAATCTGGTTTCAGAATTAGCAAATGTTTTGAGTTAATAGAAGAAGAAGAAGAAAAAGATCCACTATCAGAAACTGCAGGGTAAACCACAAAACATATTCTGACCTACAGGGTGAGATTGAAATACGGGTGCAAAAAAAAGGGGGAGGAAAAAAAAAAGCCTACAGCACCCGGTATTCCCAGGCAGTCTCCCATCCAAGTACTAACCAGGCCTGACCCTGCTTAGCTTCCGAGATCAGACGGGATCGGGCGCATTCAGGGTAGTATGGCCGTAGACGGAGTTGTGTTTGCTTGCCGCTGCCTTTAAGCCGGGGCTCGTTGGCTGCCTACTCTGCCACACACAAAACCACGAGTAATTCTACAACCCGGACCATCATGCCCAGCACCAGGCCCGTTACTCTATTCTTTCTCTTGCGGTGCCGGCTGCTCCTGCTGCTGCTTTCTTCACCCTCACTGTGCTCTGCAGAGCCAGGCCGCCCCTTTGGCCGAGCGGACGCAAAGGACACCGAATCAGATCCTGCGCTCCTGCAATGGGAGACGCAGCGCTGCGTTCCCTGCAGGGGCTGCATATTGTAGCCAAAGCTTAGGACAGGCTGGACAAGGGGAGGGAGGGAGGAAAAAAACAGGTGTGGGTGTGCAAAAAAAAAAAAAAAGGCCTACAGCACCCGATATTCCCAGGCGGTCTCCCATCCAAGTACTAACCAGACCTGACCCTGCTTAGCTTCCGAGATCAGACGGGATCGGGCGCGTTCAGGGTAGTATGGCCGTAGACGGTATTTAACCTGCTTGCCGCTGCCTTTAAGCAGAACTTCGGTAGCTGCTTCAAGCTCCAGCACAGCCATCAGCACAACTACAACGGGGCCCATTATCCCCTGCCAGCTTTCAATTCCTCTTGCTGCTACCGTTTTCTTTACCTAACTGAGCTACCGTCACAGGCTGCTTGTAAAGGCAGGACGCCATTCTAGGCAAGTGAATGCAAGAGTCCGGCCAGCCCATCTCACCCAGCGGGCTCGGAGCGCTGCTTTGATCTGCACGGGCTGCAATTTGCAGCAAAGGTTGAGCACAGGCTGGACAAGGGGGAGGGGGTGGGGGAGAAAAAACAAAGGGGGGCAAAAAAAAAAGCCTACAGCACCCGGTATTCCCAGGCGGTCTCCCATCCAAGTACTAACCAGGCCTGACCCTGCTTAGCTTCCGAGATCAGACGGGATCGGGCGCGTTCAGGGTAGTATGGCCGTAGACAACACACTGTTTCATAGCTATTCCTTTTAAGCCGCTTCCCGACTTACTAACAACCATAATAAATTTGCATCGATTGGATCTTCGCTTTTAACAGAGGCCTCCATCTCCAAATGGTCCATGAAAACAATTTTTAAAAAAATCTTTTTGACTAGGGCCAGAGGTAGGCAACCTTGGCTCTTTTATGACTCGTGGACTTCAACTCCCAGAATTCCTCAGCCAGCCACGCTGAGGGGAAAGGGAGGTTTCTAAGCTGAGCCATGCTGGCTCAGGAATTCTGGGAGTTGAAGTCCACCAGTCATAAAAGAGCCAAGGTTGCCTACCCTTCTCCATTTTGGAGCACTGGGTTTTTTCTCTTTGCCCTGCATTCATACTTTTGGCTCCAAAAACAGATGGAGCTCATGAAGGGACAGTATGAACATACAGATGGTCCTGACTTAATGTCCACAATTGAGCCCAGCATTTCTGTTGCTCAGTGACTCGGTTGTTAAGCGGGTTTCGTCCCATTTTACGACCTTTCTTGCCGCCGCTGTTAAGCAAATCACTACAGTTATTAAATTACTAGCCCGATAGTGAAGTGAACCGGGCTTCCCCACTGACTTTGCTTGTCAGAAAGTCACAAAAGGGCATCGATCACATGACTCCTGGGACATTGCTACCGTCATAAATGTGAGTTAAGTTGCCCAGGGTCTGAATTCCGATCACGCGACCATGGGGAATGCTGTAATGGTCATAAGCAGAGGTGGGCAACCTTGGCTCTTTTATGACTCATGGACTTCAACTCCCAGAATTCCTGAGCCAGCATGGCTCAGCTTGGAAACTCTCCCTTTCCCCTCAGCATGGCTGGCTCAGGAATTCTGGGAGTTGAAGTCACAAAGCAGCCTAGGCCTAGGGCAGGGGTAGGCAACATTGGCTCTTTTATGACTCATGGACTTCAACTCCCAGAATTCCTGAGCCAGCATGGCTCAGCTTGGAAACTCTCCCTTTCCCCTCAGCATGGCTGGCTCAGGAATTCTGGGAGTTGAAGTCCACCAGTCATAAAAGAGCCAAGGTTGCCTACCCCTGGTCATAAGTATGAAAAATATTCATGTACTTTTTTTCGTCGGTGTAAAAAACGGTCATAAGTTACTTTCTTCAGTGCAGTCGTAACTAAACAAATGGCGACTAAACAAACGGTTGTAAGGCGAGGACTACCTGCAAAAGCATGAGCATGGAGAAGAAGCAGAAGTGTTGTGTGATGTGTTGTTCACTTGCCCCTGGGTGAAAATCTCAAGGGTGATACCCCAAAGGTGTTTTTTTCACGAGGCAACTGGACTTTCTTGTTTTTCTTTGGACGTTTCGCTTCTCATCCAAGAAGCTTCTTCAGCTCTGACTGGATGGTGGGGAAGGGAAGGATTTATACTCCTTGCAGACCGCTGGTCATTTGCCTTCTTTTAGCTCTCTGTTTGTGGACAGAGAGGACCGCTGGTTTGAATGGAAACCAAACAAGTTCATAAATGTATGGCACAACATAGGAGAACAAACCCATCAGGACAAGATTCAGCAGTCTATCTGCACTTAGAACACAAAGGCCGCTCTTTCGAAGACAGCAAAGTCCACATTTTGGACAAAATGGACTGCTGATTTAAAAGAGGGGGTCAAAGAGGCCATCTATTCTATGTCAAAATTGAACAGCTCTCCCTCAACAGAGGGGAAGGGATACGACATCATCTATCTCCAGTCTACAACACGGTCCTTTCAGCAATTCCAGGAAGGCTCCACACCCATTTGCACCACTCAGGTGACCCTGACAACCCAGATAAACTTCCAAGTGGCCTCAACGACTCTCTAAAACAGGGGTCTTCAAACTTGGCCCTTTTATGACTTGTGGACTTCAACTCCCAGAATTCCTCAGCCAGGCATGCTTGCTGAGGAATTCTGGGAGTTGAAGTCCACAAGTCATAAAAGGGCCAAGTTTGAAGACCCCTGCTCTAAAAGAATGCAAATGCCCAGCTGTCTGCAAGGAATATAAATCCTTCCATTCCCCACCATCCAGTCAGAGCTGAAGAAGCTTCTTGAAGCAGAAGCGAAACGTCTTCAAAGAGAAAAACAAGAAAGTCCAGTTGCTTCGTGAAAAGGCACCTTTGGAACAACCCTGACCTGGATGACAGATGAGGGAGAATCTCCATAGACGTTCAGGAGTGATAATAACCACTGGAATGAGTGTTGCTTCAAATAAGCTTATTCGTGGCGTGTTTCTTTACTCCCCATGGGAGCAATTAATGGGGTCATTGCTCAAGACCCATCTTGCTTGACGTAACCTGGCCACCCACTTCACTGTTTACACCCAGGTTTTGGAGAGTGGGAGGGTGTGACTTTTATTGATATAAAACCCTCAAGAAGCCAGGTGGTGCAGGAGAAGGTGCCTGGACCAGCACAAGAAGAAAGAGAGACCTGCAAGATTTTGGCAGAAGGTGGAGGTGGGATTACCACCTGGATCTGCCTCGGATGCCTAAGGGGATCCAGAAACCTTCTTGATCAAATCAAGGGCGGCATCCTCCTAGCTGGGACCTGCAACGTTGCGCTTTTCCCACAACTGTGCCAAAAGACTCCTTTGAGCCCGGTTTGGCAGCTCTTCCAAATGCCAGTCAACCCGGATTGAGTTAAGGAGAGGCTGCTTCTGAACACAGGCAGAGCACCGTTCCCTCTTTAGCACTTCTAGTCAGTTTCTGGGAATCTAGGCATGAGACAGCACACGGGATTTTGGAAATTTACATCGGCAAAGTTGCCTTCTAAAAGAGGAGCAGACTCTTGGGCTCCCAGTGAGCTTAAAAGTGGCTTCCCTCACGGATAGGCTAGGAATGTTGGCTCTGAATATGATTCCCACCGAATTATGGAATTACAAATGTGTAATGGAATCATATTGCCTAGTGCAGGGTCTTCAAATTTGGCCCTTTTATGACTTGTGGACTTCAACTCCCAGAATTCCTCAGCCAGGCACAAGTCATAAAAGGACAAAGTTTAAAGACCCCTGATTTAGGGGACAGATTGAGGGAAACAGGATGATATGCTTACGTCTTCCTTGATTTCATCCACAGTTCTACCAACTTTGGCCACTTCGAGCTTTTTAAAGAAAATATTTGTACAAGAAATGGCTGGAACGGACAATGTTCCAGACCTTGCGTTGAATACTTCTCTAGGGGAAAATCCAATTCTGTTGTCTGAACAATTCAGGAATCCCCCCCCCCCAAGCAAAACTTCCATGGTCCTATAATGACCATTTCTCCAACTTCTGATTTTGCAAATTGGAAACAGCTCAACTTGTCAGTTCCCTAACCTGTTTGGGGAAATCATCAGGAATGGAAATTAACATCCCGATTCATATATAGTGGGTTCAGCTGTACTGGCAAAATTCACAGAAAAGCCCATTCTGGGACAGAGGAGCCAGGAAAGGAGAGTTTTGGAGCAGAGACAGGGACGAGTTGCGGAACGTTCCGGAAGGAAGCCTTACCGCCAATGGGAGCAGCGAAGCAGCACCCAACGCCCACCGCACAAGCAGCCGCCAGCATCTCAATATTGCGGGATTCATTCTGCAAGAGAGAGAGAGAGAGAGAGAGACTGCTATATGCCAAGAGAAAAGCCATTGTGATTTAAATCATAAAAGTGACTTCAGTGAAAGAAAAAGCATCAGTAAGGGAAATGGGCAGTTTTTAAATTCGATAAACAAACAAACTAACTAACTAACTAATTAATTAACACCACAAGAAAGGCTGTTTTCTCACGGCGCTCTCTTTTTCTGTCAATGTCACAGAGAGTTAAGTTGATACGCAGACCACAAATAAGCCATCCCACAATAGGAATCCTCCTTCAGTTCTTACTTCCCACCTCTCCTGGCCTTTCTCAGCTTTCAACATATATTTTTATCCATTAAGTGCTAAAAACAGACCTCCTAAATAGCTTGGACTACTATCCCCATTGTTCTCAGACACCCTGGCTTTGGGGCACGATGTAATGCTAGCTGGCGGGCAAGAGATTTCGAGAATGAAGTCATGAATCTAATCATAATAGGGTAACAGGAATAATGCAACAGCAACAAGTCCACAACAGCATTTTCCTAAGAGTTCAAGAGTAGCTGTAGGATTTTGGGGCTATCACCATAATGTAGGCCTGGATTTAGCTTTTTGTTTGTTTGATGGATTTCTATAATTTCGGGGTTATTCTCCCCAAACTACAAATCCTAGGACTGAGGCTAGGGCAGGGGTCTCCAACTGTGAGCTGTGGCCCACTATCGGGCCTATTCAGAATTGGGTCGTGCGAGTGGCTGGCTAGAATTTATTTATTTATTTATTTATTTATGAGACTTATATACCGCTTTAAGTACAAGCACTCTCTAAGCGGTGTACACCAGTAAGCAATGTATATATATATTTACATTGCCCCCAACAATCTGGGTCCTCATTTTACCTACCCCGGAAGGATGGAAGGCTGAGTCAACCTTGAGCCGGTGAGATTTGAACTGCTGACCTGCTGAACATAGTCAGCTAAAGTGGCCTGCAGTACTGCACTGTAACTACTGCGCCACCTCGGCTCTTGCACTGATGATGTTACCTAGCTTGGTAATGAGACGTCTGCAAGAAAACAACCAAGCTCAGATTACACCAAGGGCCCCTGATTAACCAACAGTCATCTCGTTCTTCCATTCTCAGAGCCCATATTATTATTATTATTATTATTATTATTAATAATAATAATAAAGTTGGAAGGGACCTTGGAGGTCATCAAGTCCAACCCCCTGCTTAAGCAGGTAACCCTATACCATTTCAGAGAAATGGCTGTCCAGTCTCTTTTTAAAAACTTCCAGTATTGGAGCATTCACCGCTTCTAGAGGCAGGTTGTTCCACTGGTTAATTGTTCTGTCAGGAAGTTTTTCCATAGTTCTAGGTTGCTTCTCTCTTTGGTTAGTTTCCATCCATTACTTCTTGTCCTGCCTTCTGGCACTTTGGAGAATAGCTTGATTCCCTCTTCTTTGGGGCAGCCCCTGAGATATTGGAAGACAGCTCTCATGTCCCCCCTCGTCCTTCTCTTCATTAGACTAGACATACCCAATTCCAGCAACCGTTCCTTATATGTTTTAGCCTCCAGTCCCCTAATCATCTTTGTTGCTCTTCTTTGTACTCTTTCTAGAGTCTCAACATCTTTTTTACATCGTGGTGACCAAAACTGGATGCAGTATTCCAAGTGTGGCCTTACCAAGGCATTGTAAAGTGGTATTAACACTTCATGTGGTCTTGATTCTATCCCTCTGTTAATGCAGCCCAGCACTGTGTTGGCTTTTTTGGCAGCTGCAGCACACAGCTGGCTCATATTTAAGTGACTGTCCACTAGGACTCCGAGATCCCTCTCACAGTTACTACTGTGAGTTATTACTATTCTTACCTTGCAGCCTCAGAGGTAGATACTCACCTCGTAAATGCCTCCAAAGACGGAAAGGAACTTGCTGAGGAGGGCTGCACACATGCTGGCTATGTGGACAAAGGGTCCCTGCACACAGGAAAGAGAGATAGAAGAAGTTAGCAAGATCAGCAGATTGTTGCTAGGTCCCAAACACTCTCCAGGTTATTATTTTTATGTATTTATTCAGTTTTTATAGCCGCCCATCTCAATCAACGATCTATGTGCCCAGTTATGAAGGCTGAAGAGGCAGTTGGATTAACCAGCCTTGGGAAGAGTTGGAAGGGACCCCAGAGATCATCATGTCCAATCTTCTGCAGGGTTCACTTCAGGTAGTCCTTGACTTATGACCACATTCCCACATTCCCACAAATTTCCATTGCTAAGCAAGAACAGCTCTTAAGTGAGTTTTGCCCCCATTTTAGGACCTTTCTCGCCACAGTTGTTAAGTGAATCACTGCAGCCGTTAAGTGAGTAACCTGGTTGTTAAGTGAACCTGGCTTCCCCACTGACCTTGCTTGTCAGAAGGTCTCAAAAGGGGATCACATGATCCCAGAACACTGCAACCATTGTAGAGACGAGACAATTGCCAAGGACCTGAATTTTGATCACATGCTGCAATGGTCACAAGTGTGAAAGACGGTCATAAGTCACTTTTTTTCAGTGGCACTGCAACTCTGAACAGTCACTAAATGAATGGTGTTAAGTCGAGGATTTCCTGCAGACTATCCCTGACAGATGACTTTTCTGTCTCTGAAAACCTTCAGTGAAGGGCAGAAACCACTTCAAGAAGAGCCTATTCCCATGGTGGCCAACCTATGGCACGCATGCCACAGGTGGCACGCAGAGCCCTCTCTGTGGGCACACGCGCCATCGCCCCAGTCCTAGGCCTTCAGCTGGGTTTCATAAAACCTTTTCGCTTTAGGCCTCCGCCACGGTGTGCCAAAAAAAAAAAAAAAAGGTTCAATCAGTCAATTTCAATTTCTGGCAGGGAAAAAAAAAGATCTTGCAAAGTTGTAATTGATTGATTGAACTTTTTAGTCCCACCCAGTCTGCCGTTACCACCGCAGCCACGCCCAGCCAATGGGCCACACCCACCCAGCACCCAACGATGCATAAGTGGGTTTTGGGTTGCAGTTTGGGCACTCGGTCTAAAAGGTTCGCCATCACTGGCCTATTCACTGACTGGCAGCTCTTCCTGTCAAGACATTCTTCTCAATTTCTAATTTCTATCTACATCCTTGCAGTTTCATCCTTTCCACTCGAATTCTTACCCGCTGGAGCAAGTGAGGAGAAGTCTCAAGTTTCAGAAACTTGAAGACAGGTACAGATTGTTTTCAAGTTATGATCATAACTGGAGTCCCACAATTACGGTTGTAAGCCATGATGGGTGTGGTGGCGCAGTGGTTAGAAAGCAGTATTGCAGGCTAATTCTGCCGACTGACAGCAGCTCAAACCTGACTGGCTCACAGTTGACTCAGCTTCCCATCCTTCCAAGGTCAGTAAAATGAGGATTGTTGGGAGCAAATACACTGACTCTGCAGACCGCTTAGAGAGGGCTGTAACGCACTGGGAAGCTGTATATAAGTCTAAGTGCTATTGCTATGACTAAATCTGATTTTGTGACCTTTTTCGCAGCAGCTGTTAACTGGATGTGGCAATTATTTAATGAAGCCATTGTACACTCTGGGCCACTTTTTGCAAGAAACTGGAAGTAAAAGCTGGTTTCTGTCAAAAACATCATAAATCATGATCACAGGACCACAGAGCCACTGCAAACAGCCGTAAATGCTAAGTGCCCAAAATACAATCACGTGACACCGCACAGGGGAGGGGATGTCAGAACTTGGGAACCAGGACATGAGTAACTTTCGGGGGTGGGAGGATCCACTGAGACTTCAAATAGTTGTTAATTGATTGGTCATAAGGCAAGGATTGCCTGTATCACATCTTCTCTCACGCTACCCTTCTGGAAACCAAAGACAGTTGTGTTTTTTCACTATTCCAGCCAGAACTTGGTTTCTAGATATTTCTCCATCTTGGTAGCCTATGGACCCCAGATCCCCCCTCACCTCTTTCCCCAAAGGCATCCCGCTGCCTAATGCACAGGTCAGTCCAATGACTTTGGCCACAAAAGTCTTGAGGGTAAGGTATTCCTTCAGCACCACACCACGCAGGATAGTTTTCATTTCTGGGATGCCAGAGCCTGTAGAGAAAGAAAAAAGAAAAAGAAAAGAGAAGAGAAGAGAAGAGAAGGAGGGAGGGAGAGAGAGAGAGAGAACAGAGAAAGAGAGAGAGAGAGAGGAGAAGAAAGAGAGAGAAGAGAAAGGAGAAGAGAGAGGAGAGAGAAAGAGAGAGGAGAGAGAGAGAAGAGAGAAAGAGAGAGGAGAGAGAAAGAGAAGAAAGAGACACAAAGAGAAGAGAGAGAGAAGAGAGAAGAGAGAGAAGAAAGAGAGAGAGGAGAGGAGAGAGAAGAGAGAGAGGGAAGGAGGGAGAGAGAGAAAGAGAAGAGAGAGAGGAGAAAGAAGAGAGAGAGGAGAGAGACAGAGAAAGAAGACAGAAAGAGAGAGAAGAGAAAGGAGAGAGGAGAGAGGAGAGAGACAGAGAAAGAAGACAGAAAGAGAGAGAAGAGAAAGGAGAGAGGAGAGAGGAGAGAGAAGAGAGAGAGAAGAGAAAGAAGAGAGAGAGGAGAGAGACAGAGAAAGAAGACAGAAAGAGAGAGAAGAGAAAGGAGAGAGGAGAGAGGAGAGAGACAGAGAAAGAAGACAGAAAGAGAGAGAAGAGAAAGGAGAGAGGAGAGAGGAGAGAGACAGAGAAAGAAGACAGAAAGAGAGAGAAGAGAAAGGAGAGAGGAGAGAGGAGAGAGACAGAGAAAGAAGACAGAAAGAGAGAGAAGAGAAAGGAGAGAGGAGAGAGGAGAGAGAAGAGAGAGAGAAGAGAAAGAAGAGAGAGAGGAGAGAGACAGAGAAAGAAGACAGAAAGAGAGAGAAGAGAAAGGAGAGAGGAGAGAGGAGAGAGACAGAGAAAGAAGACAGAAAGAGAGAGAAGAGAAAGGAGAGAGGAGAGAGGAGAGAGACAGAGAAAGAAGACAGAAAGAGAGAGAAGAGAAAGGAGAGAGGAGAGAGGAGAGAGAAGAGAGAGAGAAGAGAAAGAAGAGAGAGAGGAGAGAGACAGAGAAAGAAGACAGAAAGAGAGAGAAGAGAAAGGAGAGAGGAGAGAGGAGAGAGAAGAGAGAGAGAAGAGAGAAGAGAGAAAAAGAGAGAGAGAAGAGAAAGAAGAGAGAAGAGAGAGGAGAGAGAGGGAAAGAGAGAGAGAGAAATGGATGAGGCAGAAAAGAAGAACCAGGAAAAGCCAGAAAGAGACTTCCTGGAAAAAACTCTTCTCATTCAGAGTCAATGCCCACACAACTCATTCAACTATTTAACTTAGCCACTTCAAGATATATGGACTTCATCTCCTAGAATTCCCCCAGCCAGCAGGCTTCCAGCTGTGTAAATCTTCTGCAAGCATGGGCTACGGATCTGCTTCTTATGATTCAGGGCAGAGAATACCTTGGTTTCGTTCCCCTCTGAGGGAAAAAGAGGGATCACTCAAATATAGAGAAAACCTTTAAGGTTTTAGGCAGAGGAAGGTGATCTGTTGGGCAGAAAGGACCACCTTTCAGGAGACTTCCCTGAGTTTGGGTTTCTGATGGAATTGGACCTTCCTTGTCCCCAGGCATTCCAGTAGGGCAGTGTTTCCCAAACTTGACAATTTTAAGGCATGTGGACTTCAACTCCCAGAATTCCACAGCCAGCAATGCTGGCTGTGGAATTCTGGGAGTTGAAGTCCACATGCCTTAAAATTGTCAAGTTTGAGAAACACTGTTTGGGAAACAGCTGCTTGTAAAATTGTCAAGTTTGGGAAACACTGCAGTAGGGGGACAGAAAAGAAAGGGGGGCCGGCACAAGGTGGGTTCCCAGCTGTGTGCCTTCCAAACAGCTGGGCTTTCTCCAAAGCAGCTCCTTCCTTTCCCACTTCTCCAGATCAGCACTCACCCACCGCCTGCGGGGCTAGGATCTGAGTAAAGCCAGCGGAGAAAGTGATGAGCACAATGGGGTAGGTAATCCAAGCCATGTATTGCAAGAAAACGTTGGTATCCAACCCGCCGTACATCCACTTCTGGGCTGCAAGAGTCAAGGAGAGAGAGAGAGAGAGAAATGGGTTGCTTGTCAATCCACAGGAGATAATCCTCCAGGTTAAGTTGCCCCCACGCAGGAAACTAAGCTAAAGTCATGCTTTTGCCGAGAAAAGACCACTTTCTCAGCATCTTCCCCCAGAAATTGCAATGGTCCCAATCCTGTTAGCCTATTGTAGGGGTGTCAAACTCAATTTCATTGAGGACCGCATCAGCATTGCGGTTGCCCTTGGGGGGCCGGGTGGGTGTGGCCAGGGTGAGTGCAGCCTACTAGGTGGGATGGAGTGGGTGTGGCCTACTGGGTGGGCGTGGCCAGCTCGACATCGTTCGCGTCAAGGGGGCCTGTGGGGGCCTGGGCAGGAGTGGGGCAGATCTGAGGGTCTCTGGCAGAAGGGGGTGGGACTGGAGCAAGCGCCAAGGCATGGTCCATTTCTTCATTCCTCACAAAGGGTGACACCTCCCCAGCATGCACCCAGGGGGCGGGGCCGACGCAGCAGGGGCTGCTTCCTCGCTGGTTCCGGACGGTCTTGTGGAGCTAAGACTGAATGCGTTTCAGCATAGATGGCCACCACAAAATTGTACATTGGCTCCCGGCCGGTCTGGTCCTTCATTGTTTCTAGGATGGCTTCGCGGGCCACATGAAACCACTGTGCGGGCCGCATCCAGCCCCCGGGCCTTGTGTTTGACAGGTCTGGCCTATTGCAAGGCGCTGAAGTCCAGGCTGTTTCCCCAGGCCTTTGGATCAGAGGGATGGATGAGCTGGACTTAACGGATGTGTTTTTGTCTGCAAGTGGGCTTGTTGTTTGTCCTTAAGACAGCACTACCAATAGCATTTAGACTTACATACCGCTTCACGGTGCTTTATAGCCCTCTCTAAGCAGTTTACAGAGTCAGCATATTTGCCACCAACAAATCTAGGTCCTCATTTTGCCAACCTCGGAAGGATGGAAGGCTGAGTCAACCTTGAGCCGGTCAGGATCAAACTTTAGATTGTGGGCAGAGTTAGCTTGCAGTTCTGCATTCTAACCACTGCGCCATCACGGCTCTATGTCAGGTGAGGGGGTGGGGGAGTTTCTATGCTTTAATTATTGTAAACTGCTCAGGATCACAATAAAAAATAAAATAATACATAATAAAAATAAAATAATAATAATAATAAAAGTCCTTGACTTAAGTCAAGCTCTTGGCCACCAGCCTACACTTTTGGCTATTTGCAGTGTCCCAGGGTCAGATGAGTGCTTTTTACGACGTTTTTGCTGAAAACAGGTATTTACTTCTGGGTTTGTTTGGGTTTGTTTTTTTTTTTTTTTTGCAAAAAAGGCCCACAGTGACCATCACTTTACGACCACTGTGTTCATTTTATGACTGTCACATTTACATAACAAATGCCACAAGAAATGTTGTCAGAATGAGTGTAGTCACATGGCCACCCACTTTACAACCGTCAAAGCTTACAACCACAATGGACAGGCTCCATTACAGTCACATGTTGAAAATAAAATAAAACAAAATAAAATATAAAATTAAAATAAAATAAAAAAGCAAAATAAAAAAATAAAATAATATAAAATAAAATAAAAAATAAAATAAAATAAAAAATAATAAAATAAAACAAAATAACAAAATAAAACAAAGTAAAATATAAAAAGCAAAACAAAAAATAAAAAACAAAATATAAAATAAAATAATAAATAAAATAAAATAAAAAATAATAAAATAAAATAAATACAATAAATAAAATGAAATAAAATAATAAAATAAATAAAACGAAACAAAACAAAATGAAACAAAATAATAAAATAAATAAAATAAAACAAAGTAAAATATAAAATTAAAATAAAATAAAAAATAAAAAGCAAAATAAAAAATAAAATGAAATAAAAAATAAAATAAAATAAAAATAATAAAATAAATACAATAAATAAAATAAATAAAAATAATAAAAAAATGAAACAAAATGAAACAAGATAATAAAATAAAATAAAAAATAAAATAAAATATAAAATAATAAATAAAATAAAATAATAAAATAATGAAATAAATAATAAAGTAAAATAAATACAATACAATAAATAAAATAAAATGAATAAAATAAAATGAAATGAAACAAAATAATAAAATAAAATAAAATATAAAATAAAACATAAAATAAAATAATAAATAAAATAAAGTAATAAAATAATAAAATAAATAATAAAGTAAAATAAATACAATACAATAAATAAAATAAAATGAAATGAAACAAAATAATAAAATAAATAAAATGAAATGAAACGAAACAAAATAATAAAATAAAATAAAATAAAATAAAAATAAATGGCCTCCTCTTCAAAGTCTTGCGCTCCAGAGTCCTACCCCAGGAGTTCTGCCTTTGCAGTGATAATCTACAATCTTCTTACCTTGCAGGCAAATTGCTATAGCAAAGTCCATGGCCCAGCTTACCAAGGCCATCAGCAGACCCAACAGGATCAGGAAGATCCAGTCTTCGCCCACTTTGGAGATGAGGAACTTTTGGCACCGCACAGTACAGACTGCAAGAGAGAGAGAGAAAGGGACAGATGAGAAACGGGACATCCATAGGGCTGCATCGCAGAGAAGTTGGGATACAGGAGAAAACAGCACTGGTCCATTGCTATAGAAACAATTCACTTTCAAAGCAAGTACAGGATGGGAGTGGCAGAAATACAAAAATTTTTGATAGGGAAGAGGAGCAAAAAAGGAACAAAAACAGGAAAAACTTGCAGTATTTAGATATAGGTGTAAAATATCTCTTAGCATTTAGAACTCCATTTAGTACTTACTATTACTATTACTATTATTATTATTATTAAATCTCAAAGAAATTAAATCTGAAAAAGTACCCATGAAGAAAAAAAACTAGAGACACTGGGGAAGGCTAAATGCAGTCCTTCTTATCAAGGAATTACATAAAGAGGATCTCAGATAATACCAATCATCAAAACCTAGAAAGATATTAAAATGGTAAACCAATCCATTTAGAAGCATCTTGAAGAATAACAGAATAACAGAATTGGAAGGGACCTTGGAGGTCTTCTATCCAGCCCCCTGCTCAGGCAGGAAACTCTACACCATTTCCGACAAATGGCTGTTCAGTCTCTTCTTAAAAACTTCCAGTGTTGGAGCATTCACCACTTCTGGAGGCAGGTTGTTCCACTGGTTAATTGTTCTAACTGTCAGGAAGTTACTCCTTAGTTCTAGGTTGCTTCTCTCCTTGATTAGTTTCCATCCGTTGCTTCTTGTCCTGCCTTCTGGTACTTTGGAGAATAGCTTGACTCCCTCTTCTTTGGGGCAGCCCCTGAGAGATTGGAACACTGCTATCCTGTCCCCCCTCGTCCTTCTCTTCATTGAACTAGACATATCCAATTTCAGCAACTGTTCTTCATATGTTTTAGCCTTCAGTCCCCTAATCATCTTTGTCGAACAAGACTGCCTTAAGAATTTATCCTTTTTTTTTTGCACTGTTATGTAATATAACTTTAATGAGGAGGTAGATTTCATAATGCTAAAAAAGATCCAAAAGTTTCTTTCAAAGTACATCGGACTAAGACTACACTCTGAAAACTCACTAGGTTTCATTCAGCAAAAATAATTAGAATGACTAGTTGGCCAAAATTGTAAGCAAGTTTGACCATTGCTGGCATTTTGTGTCGGCTATCTTAATCAGGCTCCGTTCGTGCTCCTTCACCCAAGCCATTCATGTAATCCTTGGAAAGCAACCAAAATTGTTGCCAAACTTTAACTTTCAATGTGAAAGAAGAAGAAAGTTATTGAAACCCTCAGGAAGCCAGTCTAATGAATTGCATCTAATTTGTTAACCAGCTTGAAAACAAATCAGAACAAATTTCAGCCGACGTTTTTGTCCTGCCATTGACCATTTGGGGGCAACATGAGGCCCAAATATGAAGCTTTGCCCCCCCCCCCCAAAGTGATGGAGTTATAAAACAGAGGTAGTCCTTGTCTGACAGCCATCGGTTTAGTAAGCAAAATTAACGGGGAATCCAGATTCACTTAATAACCAGGTTACTAATTTAACAGCTGCACTGATTTACTGAACAACTGTGGTGAGAAAGGTCGTAAAATGGGGCAAAATTGACTAAACAAATGTCTCGCTTAGCAGAAATAATTTGGGGCACAAAACTGCAATCCTTTCTTATACCAAATGTAGTTTAATTCCACAGTTGCCCTTCCCATGGTGTAACAGAGCTTTTGACTTCCACTTTTAGCCTATCTGTAGTCCAAGGCTAGTCCAACCACTACAGACTGGGCCGTTTTGACTCATGGTCCAGGATTTAAATCAGAGTTGGTTTGCGGGACTCAAAATTGTTACCGACTTATCTTCAGTGCCAGCATTCATGATACTGACTAACACCACTTATCTATAGATAAAGGAATAGACTGTTCCTCCATCCAAGGTTTATACTTTGTTACTTCTCAATCAACTAGGCCAGAAGATGGAGAGCAACATGCAGTTAGAAAACTGTGATAACAAACCCTCCTTCAGATGAAGAGCCCTCATTTCCCCTCATGTGGCCTTCAATTTCTGAGGATTACCTGCTCAATTCAGAATACTTTTGCAGGAAACTGGCCTTTACTACAATGGGTTCGCTTAACGGTCAATCAATCCCTCAATCAATTAATCAATCAGACTAGAACAGGAAGGGACCTTGGAGGTCTTCTAGTCTAACCCCCTGCTCAAGCAGGAGACCCTGTCCAGTCTCTTTTTGAAAACTTCCAGTGATGGAGCACCCACAACTTCTGGAGGCAGGCTGTTCCACTGGTTAATTGTCCTCGTTGTTAAGAAGTTTCTCCTTAATTCCAGGTTGCTTCTCTCCTTGATTAGTTTCCATCCACTGTTTCTTGTCTTGCTTTCTGGTGCTTTGGAAAATAAGTTGACCCCCTCTTCTTTGGGGCAGCCTCTCAAATCTTGGAATACTGCTATCATGTGCCCCCTAGTCCTTCTTTTCTCTAGACTGGCCATACCCAGTTCCTGCAACTGTTCTTCATATGTTTTAGTCCTCAGGCTTTTAATCATCTTGGTTGCTCTTCTCTGAATTTTTCCAACATCTTTTTTGTAATGTGGTGACCAAAACCGGATGCAGCATTGCAGGCGTGGCCTCACTAAGCTTTTATAAAGCGGTACTAATACTTCACCTGATCTTCATTCAACGGCTGCAGTGTTGGCTTTAACAACCATTTGGCTTTACGACCACCGCAAAAAAAAAAAAAAAAAAAAAAGCAGGCTCCATTGAGGCTGTAAGTCAAGGATGTATTTCATGAACTCAGCCTTAGTTGGCTGGCTAGATTCATCCTGCCTCGTTCTACCTCCACGGGCATTTCCTGGCATGACATGACACTAAAGCAGTGGTTCTCAACCTGTGGGTCGGGACCCCATTTGGGGTCGAACGACCATTTCACGGGGTTCACCAAACAACACAGTCCGCCACTTTTTTCCCCCTTTTCCTTAGCTGTGCTACTCCCTTTTATTCTATTGGCTTTTGAAAGCCAATAGGATAGACTCTCTTGAATAGAGTCTAATTCTATTGGCTTTCAAAAGCCAATAGGAATGGTCCAGGCTGTCTCTGCCCTGCTGAGCCCGCCAAAAGTCCCATTCTGCAAATGGTGCTGCACCAGTTGAGTAGTCCTCCACTTACGACCGGTTGAGCAATCCTCGACTTACGATCGGTTGGGGATCGCAGCATTAAAAAGGTTGAGAACCATTCCACTAAAGAATCAAAACACAAGGGGTATTTCTGCTTTTTTTTTTTTCAGGTTTGGACAGAGCAGAAGTGTACATCTGAACCAGCTTGGTCCTTTGATACTCAAACAGCTGAAGACACTTCCAGATGTCCCCCATCTGGCTGACCACTGCTGCCTGAGGTGAGCCGAGAGGCCAGTCCTAAATTCTGACTTCATGAGTAAGCCTACAGCCGGCCATCCTCTTACTCCATTGCTATGACAGCTGTCAGAAGCCAACAGCTGGGCTCAAAGAGATGTGTGTGTGTGTGTGTGTGTGCTTGTGTGTGTGGCATGGATGCACCTCCAGTTAGGAAAACAGCCTTTCGCTCTCCTGCCCATCTGGTCACAGGAGGTAGCCACTCGAGCAGAGAAGAGGAAAGCGGTCACAGCCAAAGCCACACCAGGACACGGTCCATCTCCTGTGGCTGCCTTTGCGAGTTGGCAACATTTAAACCGGGAAACAGCCTCAAGAACAAGGCAAGCTGTGATTGCAACAGTTGCTAAGGGATTTAGGAAGAGCCAGATCCCACAGACAATGTGTGTTTGTGTGTGTTTGGCCAAGCTTTTGGCAACGGGGAGTCTAGATGGTTATAAAACTGGAAGGGACTGTTGCAAAACGTTATTTCCTATCTGTCTGTTTGGGGGGACCAATGCATCTTTGTTAAAATCAAGCCGTCAAAGGAGGAATGTACCACCGAGCGAACCCAGAGGTGGGCATGCATGCATGCTTCCTGGACTGAACCATGTCTGAATGGAGCAACTGCAGATTCCAGGAGGCCAAAGGAGCTCTGGATGAAAAATTGAAGGCTCACGGCCCCACACATTGCGTCATGCTTAAAACAGACACAACCCGACAGCTGGTCCTTGACTTACCACGGTTTGTTTAGTGACCGTTCAAAGTTACAACGGCCCTGAAAAAAAAGCGACTGATGACCATTTTTCACACTTACGACCCTTGCAGCCTCCATGTGGTCTAAATTCAAATCCTTGGCCATTGTCTCATATTTACGACGGTCGCAGCGTCCCGGGGGGGGGTCATGTGATCCTCTTCTGACGAGCAAAGTCAATGGGGAAGAAGCCAGACTCCCTTTAACAAGAACAGCGATTCACTTCACAACTCTGACAGGAAAGGTCGTAAAAGGGGGCAAAATTCGCTTCACAACTGTCTTGTTTAGCAACAGAAATCCGGGGCTCAGTTGTGGCCGTAAGTCGAGGACTATCTGTACTGTCAGTAAAAATCCAGTTTGGCAGAATGTTGTAGGCGACAACAGCGTCCATTGCTGAGGAAGATGGCCAGCAGAACTATAGCCAAACATCCCAGCTGCTCCCTCCACCAAAATAACTTTTCCATTAATCTCTTCGTTTTGTGGAAGAAAATGGCCTGCCGATCATCTCACTTTGAACCTGGAATCACACAGTGCAGACAGTCCTCAGCTTATGACCACAATTTGAGCCCCAAATTTCCACTGCTAAGCAAGGCAGTGGATAACTGGAGTGGCGCCCCATTTTACGATCTTTTTGCCACAACGGTTAAGCCAGGGGTCTTCTAACTTGGCCCTTTCATGACTTGTGGACTTCAACTCCCAGAATTCCTCAGCCAGGCAAGCGTGCCTGGCTGAGGAATTCTGGGAGTTGAAGTCCACAAGTCATAAAAGGGCCAAGTTTGAAAACCCCTGTGTTAAGTGAATCACTGCAGGTATTGATTCACGTGGTTGTTTGGTGAATCTTGATTGCCCCATTGTCGTCGCTTGTCAGAAGCCGGCGGCGAAGGTTACAAAGGGTTGATCACATGACCCTGAGGCAAGGCAATGGTCATTAATAAACACCACCTACCAAATGCCCAAATTTTGATCCCGTGGCTACAGGGAGGCTGCAATGATCATCAATGTGAAAAACAGTCATGTCGCTTTTTTTCAATGCCGTTGTCACTTCAAACAGTCACTAAATGAACAGTTGTAAGTCGAGGACTATCCAGTGACTTAACCAGGTCACCTAAATAAACAGAAGCTGCAGACACAAGAACTAAGCTTGGTGCTGCCACAAAGAAAAAAAAAAGGGGGGGGGGAATCAACCTATTCTCCAAAGCTCCTGAAGGCAAGACAAGAAGCTGTGGATGGAAACCAATCGAGGAGAGAACCAACCTAAAAATAAGGAGAAATTTCCTGACAGAACAATTAACCAGTGGAATGACTTGCCTCCAGAAGTTGTGCGTGCTCCATTATTGGAGGTTTTTAAGAAGACATTGGACAGCCATTTGTCTCAACTGGTGTAGGGCAGGGGTAGGCAATCTTGGCTCTTTTATGACTCGTGGACCCCAGAATTCCTGAGCCAGCATGGCTCAGCTTGGGAACTCTCTCTTTTCCCTCAGCATGGCTGATTCAGGAATTCTGGGAGTTGAAGTCCATGAGTCATAAAAGAGCCAAGGTTGCCTACCCCTGGTGTAGGCCCTCCTGCTTGGACTAGAACAGAGGTCCCTAACCTTTTGGGCACCAGGGACCAGTTCTGTGGAGAAAGGTTTTTCTGTGGACTGGAGAGTGCATGGTTTTGTCTGCTGCCTACATCCCATGGTTGGAGCTTTGCTTGTTTGTGCAGACCGGTTGTTGGCATGCCGCAGCCCCATACCGGTCCACATACTAGGGGTTGGGGACCTCTGGACTAGAAGACCTGCAAAGTCCCTTCCAACTCTATCATTCTGTTATTCTATATACTCAATTTTAAGCACCCCCCTCTCTTTTGGGGTTGGGGGCTTAGTGTGCTGTGTAACCCAGCTCTTTCAGTTTTCAGTTTGTTCACAATTCAGCATATTGTATGAACAGAACCACACAGTCTTCTCATGCATGCATTTCTTTCTGTATATAATGCCAATTTCCCAATGTCTAGTTGAGCCACCACTCCTACTCTTCTAGGCCAGAACAGTTAATCTGCATAAAACTGGGGACAAAGGTAATTGTAATCTTATATATCGGCAGGGTGTCAGATTAAATTCTGCCGCACGATCCTTCCTTTGACAGCAGCGATGTGTGACGGAATTGTGAGGAGTGGCTTCTCTTAGCCTGGGTAAAACTCTCATTGAAAAGTACCAGGTCTTCACTTGTCTCCAAGGATAGCTACACAAGACACTTAACCCTTTAGAAGTTTTTGGAAAGAGTGCAGAGAAGAGCAAAAAAGATGATTAGGGGACTGGAGGCTAAAACATATGAAGAACGGCTGCAGGAATTGGGTATGTCTAGTCTAGTGAAGAGATGGACTGGGGCTGACATGATAGCAGTCTTCCAACATCTCAGGGGTTGCCACAAAGAAGAGGAGGTCACCCCATTCTCCAAAGCACCTGAAGGCGGGACAAGAAGCAAAAGATGAAAACTAATCAAGGAGAGAAGCAACCTAGAACTAAGGAGAAACTTCCTAATGGTGAGAACAATTAATCAGTGGCACAGTTTGCCTTCAGAAGTTGTGAGTGCTCTAACACTGGAGGTTTTTAAGAAGAACCATTGTTCTGGAGTGGTACAGGTAGGGTCTCCTGCTTGAGCAGGGGGTTGGGCTAGAAGACCTCCAAGGTCCCTTCCAACTCTTGTCATTCTGTTAACCCAGCTGGGGATTAAACCAAAATTAGCACCTTACTTGTGGATCTGGCCACATTCAATCCGTTTAACTAAAGGCCATCTTTTAGGAGAACATGATGTCCACCCCCCTTCTCTAGTTCTGATCGGTGTCCAGGCATGTGTCCTTGAGACAGGAGAGTATGGGGAGGGGGCTTGGGTGGGTTCATAGACCATACTCCAGAGATTGGTGAGGTGGGAGAGGCTTGATTATGTTGGGAGCTGAAAGCTGCAGCTCAGGGCAGGTTGAACCACCCCACTAAATTGGATGGAAATTATCCTTTCATGCACCCACTGGGGAGAGAAAGTTCTTTCTCTTTTCTGCCCTATCAAGCAGATCGCGTCCACGCACGGTGTGTGCTTCAGATCAGCGTTTCTCAATTTTGGCCACTTTAGGATGCATGGACCTCAACTCCCAGAATTCCCCAGGGTGAGAAATACTGCTTCAGATCTTTCCGACACAGCCTGGGGAACCTTCTCTTGCATTGCTCCAAGTTAAAAATTACACACTTCCAGGATTCCTGGAAGCGTGTACTTGCCTCCATTGTCTCCACCTCTAAAAACTCTGTAAAGCTCCCTTGTTCTCGTCAGTCCTTCATGGAGATTTAAGTTTAGCACTCAATTCTACATTCCCTTTAAAGGTTGAGCTTTTTCTACTCTGCTTTTCATTTTTTTGTTTGAAATGTTAACTGGACTGTGTGTTCAGGAGAGAAGTAAAACGGGCAATACCTCTTTTGATAAGTCAGGGCTAAACAAAATCTTCTTAGAACAGTGTTTCTCAACCTTGACCATTTTAAGGCATGTGGACTTCAACTCCCAGAATTCCACAGCCAGCATTGCTGGCTGTGGAATTCTGGGAGTTGAAGTCCACATGCCTTAAAATGGTCAAGGTTGAGAAACACTGTCTTAGAATGTGCAGAAATGGATAGATTTGACTTTAGAGATTAAAGAGGAAGAAGATTCAGTTTATTTTAGAACATGGGATAAGTTTTATCAATGGCTAGGAAAACAAACTAGTGAGAAATGAATGTGATATGTTATTTTGAATACATACCAGTAAGAAGAATGTTATGTATTGATTAATTAATACTGTTTATGATTACTGTTTATTATAATTACTATATTAACTATTGTTAGCCAAACATATGTACCCAGACAATAGTCTGCTTGCTATTCTATCCGACCCTATTTTATCCCTAGCCCTATAAAACTCAAAAACATCTTTAAAAAAAAAGTGAGCTTTTTCTACTCTGCTTTTCATTTTTTTGTTTGAAATGTTAACTGGACAGTGTGTTCAGGAGAGAAGTAAAATGGAAATTTGTTTGGAAAAAAGAACCTTGGCTTTATGGCTGATAAAGTATGATAATTAATTGAATGGAATTTGAAATTTGTGTAATGAATTGAAAGGAATTAAGATTTAACATTGTTTTTTTTTTAAATTAAGTTAGTTATCATTGGAAGAAGAAATGAATGAGATTGATGATAAAAAGAAGGCTGAGAGAGATTAAGAACTTTAATATACTTGGTAAAGATATCTGAACTGATAATTTGTTGATGTAAAACAATATTTGATTATGGTAATTCTAAATTGATAAAGCTTTAAAACAGGTTGAGTAGTAATAGAAACTTAAGCTAGAAACGGAATATATTAAATCTATTATGTTATCTGTGAGAAATAGAGAGATGATAGTGAATGTATTAAGTTGAGCTGTTTTTGTATGTTTTTTTTTCCCTTGGAATGTTTGTTTACCCAAACACCACGGTGTGTCTTAAATACTTTTTGTTAAAATTAAAAAACCAATAAAAAAACCAAAACCAACAAAGATGATTAGGGGACTGGAGGCTAAAACATATAAGGAACGGTTGCGAGAATTGGGTATGTCTAGTTTAACGAAGAGAAGGACAAGGGGGGACATGATAGCAGTATTCCAATATCTCAGGGGCTGCCATAAAGAAGAGGGAATCAAGCTATTTTCCAAAGCGCCTGAAGGCAGGACAAGAAGCAACAGATGGAAACTAATCAAGGAGGGAAGCAACCTAGAACTAAGGAGAAACTTCCTGACAGTGAGAACAATTAATCAGTGAAACAGCTTGCCTCCAGAAGCAGTAAATGCTCCAACACTGGAAGTTTTTAAGAAGAGACTGGACAGCCATTTGTCCGAAATGGTGTAGGGTTTCCTGCCCGAGCAGGGGGTTGGACTAGATGACCTCCAAGGTCCCTTCCAACTTTACTATTATTATTATTATTATATATCAAAAAAAAAAGGAGAGAAGTAAAACGGGCAATAAAGGAAATACCTCGTTTGATAAGTCGGGACCAAATAAAATCTTCCCCACAACGAGGTCAGAAAGAACCAAAGAGAAAGACAAGAGCTGTCTTGTTAATGTCAGACAAAGCCAAACGCATCAGCTCCGTGGTAGTTTTGAAGAGCACCTTCCAGCTCGGGAGATATTTGTGGCAAGGTCTCTCATGCTGTTCTCCCATGAGACTGGAAAGATCAACAGGAAATTACATCTCTGACTGAGCTATAGAATATGCATGCCTTCTTTCTGCCAAGGATTCAGCCTGGAGCCCGAGGCAGGCAGATCAGAAAGGGACTGTGAATAGTTTGTGTATTATTCTTTACAAAGAGACAAAGGGAGAGAGGATAGGAGAAAGAACTGAGAGAAGAGAACAGAAAGAACTGGTCAAAGGAGGAGCCTGGACCACCTGCACAATTGTCTATATGAGGGGTCTCCAAATTAGGCAACTT